ATCACGAATTTTCAAATTTTAATGCGGAAATTTACCCAAAGAAACTTACGTTGAATAAATTTAACACAAACAGCAATATTTGTCTGTTTCTAGATTTGGATATTTCAGTTCCACACGGGAAACTTAATATAGACATTTAAGACAAAGGGGACGAAATTAATTAAAACCTTTACTAAAATCTTTCATAGATACAAAGATTTGGTTAGGAAGTTTGGCTGTACCTGTAAACTTCTTACTGAAAACGGGATATCACATTCTAGTTATTACAGTGATGTTGTTTATAAAGCCCGTAGATGTAGAAACGGTTCATGTAAAAAAAATGATCCTTTGAAAAAACTTATTCTTTAAGGTTATCAATTAAACTTAAAAGCAACACTTTTAAATATTGTACTAACATTGATTTTGTTTTTGAAAAATCATAAAATCACTAAATATAGATTGCTATAGTTGTCCAGTTATAAGAACTCATTCTTTTACATCCTGTCGATACTGTTTACTTATATTATGATATAACACAAGGTCAATCGTTACTCAGACTGTTTTTTTACGTCTTTACACTAAATCCGTTGGATGTGTACTGATTGATATTTTAGTCTGGGAGAACATGATTGATCTATTAGTTGTAGTTGGCTTTAAACTAGCATTCAGTAACTGTGAGTACTCTTATTTCAGTGCTTTGTGTCTACTGATTTTATGTTAGTTGTGTTTGTGCATCGATCTTTTGACTTAAGCCAATTGCAACTGACTTTTACACCATATTCTTATGTTGTGCTGTTACATCACTGTGCCAGATTAGGGGAAGGTTGAGCGCTCAAAAACATGTTAAACACCACCACATTGCGTAAGTGTTACTTGTTTTTCATAAATTGTTTTGTTATAAATTAGGCCTAGGTTTTCTCGTTTGAATTGTTTCACATTTTTCATGTTGGACCTTCTAAACGGTATAGGATTTTTCTCATTGCTGTAGGTTGCCTATAATTGCTTACATCCACTTCATTTGGAACTTTGGTGGATAGTTGTTTCATTTGCAATTACCATTTCCCTTATTCATATATTATAATCATACCACATCACTTTATTTTTAAATAGTGCACAGTTATTTGAAGGTTGATATTGTTGGGGTTTTTTTTAAGTCAGAGACTTTTTCGTGCTTTCAAAACACTTTTAATATGCTACATGATGTATGTAATTTTATTTGTTTGGTCAATTACTGTTTTCAGCCATGTAGATCAAATAAGGATTACTTTTACATCTACTTTATTTATCGACATACCTTGCTTATTTTTGGCTCGAATCAGAGTTTGTTTTAATATGAATTTGTCGGTTTTTTGTGTGAATTTACTATGCAGTGTACATTTATTTTTTCAGAGAGGCAATCTATGAAATTGAAAGTAGAAAATCTTAAATCTGACCTTTTATGTTACATTAATATAACATAATGCTTATTTCTTATTCAAATCTACTAAATGTAATATTTTAAAGACTGGTCCCTCAACAGCTATCTTTTCATTTCATTCTGATCTAAGTTTTAACAGCTTTTAAACAATTTTATTTCATTCTTTTAAAAAAAAGTATGTCCATGATCCCTAATTATGAAACAATGCCATTTTCTCTTTACTATTCGAATAGCCTTTTGGTCCGACACCTCATATACAAAGCCTTCTGATAATTCCCATTGCATATAATAACATTTTAACCAGTGTAAAAGGGACGAAACTAACAAAGCCAAACAGGTCCCCTGAATCTGTTTATTGCATTTTTTTATCATATGATAAAAACATTTTGTTTCTAATATTTTGAAGTATTAAAGTATTGCTTTTTTTACATCTTGCATTGAATTCAAATTTCAAAATATTTGATCAGCTTTTATTTTTCTTAAATCCTTTCAAATTGAAGTTGGGTCTTATGAGTTAAGGCATGATAAATTCGAATACAAAAGGCATCGCCTACTAATGCCTACCATGACAATTGATCACATCTTCAACAGTTTGAATTGGATGAAACTCACAAGACTGAAAGGCCGCTACATTTATTCATTGCATTTTTAATATCATTATCAAAACTTTCACTGAAATTCTAAGGTGAAGAAACTTTTTCTTGCATTAAATTCATATTTCAAAAATTCGATCAATTTTATTATTATTTGAATCCTTTGAATTGCAGTTTGGTCTTTGGACTCTAGGCATGACAAAAATCATAAATGGAACATATTTGCAGAACCACATCAGTCATGGTAACTTTCAAGTGTTTTTCTTAAGAGTTTTCCTTCATTGTTAATGTTTTGGGATTTCTTGATGTATCTGCAGTATTACTATTTCAATGTGAAACAGAAAACAATACAACTCAACATAATTTTAGATTTTGAAAAGGCATATGCGCTCCTGGCACCCACAAGATTCTACTCCTGTACAAGTCTTTATCAAAACTCGCCACCAGATAACACAAGTCTGAGTCCAAACTTGTTAAAAATGATATATATATATAGAGAGAGAGAGATATATAAGTACGTCTGAACCAGTGACAACTCTACAACAGATTTATCCATCGGATCACCAGCAGTGATGGTGATATATGGCTGTGTACATTCTGTATATAAAACTCGTCTAAACATCAGCCCAACAATGTTAAATCTGTAAATTTGCTTTCGCAAATTTTTTGTTCTTCCCTCGCCGGGATTCGAACTCATGCTACTGAGATATCGTGACACCAAATCTATATAGAGATATACGATTCTTTTTCGATTTTAACTAACCTCTTATTAAATTCATATGAAACGAGTTTCTTGTAATTATAGTGTTAAGGAAATTATTGACCCCAATGCCTGAATATAAACTAAACTAATTTCTCTATCAACGTTTTATACATTCATCTTTCTTAATTTTGAACTTATAACGTATTATCGACAAATACCTTATCATTATGGGAATTTTGATCGCAACTTAATCAACTTTCGACTTTGTTGCTGAAGGTAACCAGATCGCGATATTGATAAACAATACACGCATAGTTATCATGGAGCACGTGCAACATAATTGAATTTACAGAGTGGTGTAATTTATTTGTTTTTAATTTTCCATGCGTTTATGTTTGTTTGTCAAACTTTTCCATAACAGTTGTCAAATGATTTGATGTATTTAATTTGTTCTTTAGACAACAACGTATTACTATTCATCTTCCAATGCACGTTTGTTTACATTCTTTCACCACAGTTTTCTCCTCGCATTTGCGCTGTGCGGTGGTACTGACGAGAGGTTGCGTATTTAAGGTCACAGCAAACGGGAAAATATCGGTGAATTAGAGTACGGGAAGTCAATAATTCAATAGCAGCACATGTCTGAAGATTTTATAAGATAACGGATTTTCTTTTACAAGAAAGTCCACGTACACCTGTTTTATAGTAAAACTTAGCCAATAAAGTATATAAAACATATATAACTTTGCTTTTTAGTTTTAAATTTAAATATTATGACGCCACAATAATTATCAACAAACATTTATGTAATAGAGAATTGATAAGAAGTAGTGGATTCGTAAACGATAATCAACGAGCGACTACTTTTTATCAATTCTCTAGCTTAACCCATTTCTAGTAAAACAACTGTCTGTTTTACCTTTTGACAATGAATCAACGATATTTCATAAAAATAGTTTCGTATTTTGTCTTTTTTATTCTATAATAGCTGGAAATGATTATATCCACACGCATCTATATTTAGACATTTGATAAGTTTAATATAACTTAAATGGGGTGTTAGCTCCCCTTTTTAACACCAGATTTTATTTTTGTATATACATATTTCATTTAATGTTTAATCATCACAAATTTTTTAAATTGAAAAGATTTTGGTATATTTAATTTATTCAAAAAGACATATATTAATATACAGAATTTATTTATCTTGTTTTGAAAAGTTAAAAAATTTTAACTACCAAAATTTAGAATCTTCAAAATTTATATATACATAATATTTAGCAACGTGATTTGGTATAATGAAGACTAAAGATCGTTATACCATTCTTAGTCAAATAAATATTATTAGCGTAGATGCCATAAATCTACCATTTCGTAATGCTCAAATTCATGTTGCTTTTTAAAGTATTAAAATTATGTGCTTACGATTTAAATTGAACAATTATATTTAAATTTGGTTTAAACTGTTTCCGTTTCATTAAGTTAAGATTATTTTAACGTTGTTACATATGGCATATATTTTTCACCGGTCAATAAACTAGTTTTATCTGTGGTACGCATTCTGAATCCCCATCAGAATTGCTCTTTCTACGGATGTACAATGAATAATTATGTTGATTTCATAAACTTACCATCAAGCTGTTCATAGCCGTGATCGTCTAGTCGTTGGTAACGAATGTCATAACGGTGATATTAACAGTGCAAAGTTCGAACATTGTATCCAGAATGAATTTTTCTCATTGTATTTTTTTTTTCTGAATTAAAATATTGTTTTAATCCTAGAACATGTAGAAGTATTATATATTTCATTTTCATATAATGGCGATGATTTTGTTTCTGTTTTTCCTGTCAAAGAAGTAGTTATAACCCATTTCTTTAAAAAGATAATAACACCCAAAAATAAAACAAATTCAATAAACATGAACAAACCAAGAGATATATATTGCATTAGATTACAAAAGCGAATTATCAATGAGACAGAAATACAGTTAAATGACATGTATTGACAAGTAAGCGCTTTAAGAGTACTATTCATATAATGATTGATGTCAGCCATCGTGGTCTAGTGGTATCATGCATAGACTGAAAACTCTATTAATTACGAAGAAAATACGCGCGGGTTCGAATCCTACACCTGCCACTCGTTTTTGAGAGGATAAAAGATCGTAAGTTAAAAGTTTAAAGTTATAATATAAGTTCGTTCTCTTAAGTTAATACTGTGGTCAGTGGATTCTTGAAAAATAATCTACAGTCAGAACAATAGACTGACGTCAGAGAAATGGGTTAACGAAGTGATAATCAATGAAACAAACAAAATAAAATGAACATGCAAGACGAGATCACATGACAATAACTACGATACTTTTTTTATAGTTTGCTTTGTTTTAGCACTCATAAAAAGGGAATAAAATGTGGGTATGCTTGAATTGTCATGAGTATAACAGTTCGGAGAATGAACATTGTTCAGAATGCCATTCAGCACGACCACAGTCAAGAACAGGACACGCAAAAGGTATGACATTCAAGTGGTGTTTTTAATGATAAAGTACTTAATATGTATTTTAAATGGTAAATACATTTAGGGTTGAAAGTAAAATATGCTAAACATCGGATTTGCAAAATAAATAGGCGGCGAGATTAGGTGAGAAAAAAGATAAACTGCATGTTTTAAGTAAAAAAAAGAAGAATAAAAGCAGATGTTAGGTAAAAGTTAATGAGATAGCACATTAAAAAATAACCCCAAAAAATACATATCTAGGTCAATACACGGCCTTCATCAAGAGCCAGTTATCATACGGTATGTAAAGCTCTAAATTGTCTCTCGAGCATAGAAAATTTGTGGATAAACTTAACATATCCTTTAGCATTATCCTTTAACATTATAAAAAAACTTCGCATTATCCTTTGACTTTACTTTCCGCTATAAAGATTGTGTCCTCTCACCAAATAGTTCAAAGTTTGGTGACTATGTTGAACACCTGAGATCAACCCCGGTTTTTGGTAGGATCCGTGTTGATTAATCTTTAGTTTTCTATATTATGTTTTGCATAATGTTGTTTGTCTTTCGATCTTTTCTTCTTTTTTTTTTGCAATAGTGTTGGCAATTGATATGAGTTTGAATTTCTCTTTCGCCTCTGTTTAACAGATACTATAAAATATCTGCTATCATTACCACATTCCATGAATGACCATTAATAAGAAAAGTGATATAAAACACAGGAGCTACTGTTGATGTTCAGGATCTGGAAAAGATTGATCACAATGGTCACAAAAGAAAGCTAATGTCGAAATGAGCATCTGTTGAAGTATAATTTGACTGCTAGCGATTGTTATTATAATTATAACCTCAAATTTAAGATTTGTTTATATAAACGATTTCACAACTAGTGTTGGAATCCGTGCATAAAATGCTTTTATATATGTTATTAGCTCACTAGGCCCACAGAGCCAGTATGAGCTTTTGCCATCACGTGGCGCCGTCGTCTATCGTCGTCGTCGTTGTCCATCGTCGTCCGTTATTGACCTTTATTGGTGTATTTGCTTTTTAAAAAATGTGTCCCGATGACGCCTTCTGCCATTCAACATAGCTGAAATGCCTAAAATACAACATGGGGCAAACAAAACTTATCAAATATACCGGGCTTATAATTGTGTACGCCACACCCGCGTTTCGTCTACAAATGACTCATAATTGATGCTCGAATTAAAAAAGTTAAAACATGTAAAATGCCAAATCAAGTACGCATTGCAATTTTGCCTCAAATCTTAAATACCGCTATTATAAGATAAAACCTGACAACTTAAATATGTTTTGAATGATGGCATCTACCTACTGTCTATAAAAATTCAAACTGCCATACGACTTCTTATAGGAGTTCTTGTTCTTAAACGATGAATTTTACTATCATTTTTTTTTGTGCAATTATCTTGAACATTATAATAGATAGATAGATACTTAAAAGAATAAAAGTCATCAGCAAATAGTTTAATATATGTTTAAATATTTTAGCATAGATGACATTGGAAATTGTCTTTGTATAGGAATTATTGTCATTAATTGAAAATGTTAAGCCTTTTTGTGTTGGGCAGAAACCAAGGAAGATCAAAAGAAACTGTAAACCGAAAAAAATATCAACAATACAAGTTCAAAAAAAGACATTGGAATTATATTCTGTCTTCAATTTTGAAGAGTCCAATTGTTTAGGATGCACATAGACCTAGGTGAGCGACACAGGCTCTTTATAGCCTCTACAGCTTTTGTTATTGTAGTAGGTGAAAAATGGTAATTGTGCAAATTAGATTATTCCATATAATTGCATCTTAACAACAACCATAAAAATCCTATTTCTCGTATCAAACATAAACTAAAAGAACTAGCCAAGGAATTTGTTTTTGTCTCGGCTGATAAAGCTGCTAATAATATCATTATAGTTTGACGTAAATTTTACATTGAGGTTCTGCAAAAGGAAATCACAAATTCACTAACATTCCAACTGACTTCATTTTCAGAAAACGATATTTGTAACAAACATAAACTATTAGCTACTTCTTTACAAGCAGAACCAAATACAACGAAAGTCCCAACTATGTACTGGCTTCCGAAGTTACACAAATCACCTTACAAATATAGATTTATTTCGTCTTCAAGTCATTGTTCCACTACTAAATTGTCTATTCTACTTACTAGTACACTTGGTACAATCAAAAACCTGATAATAAATTGTTCAAAAAAGGCCTTTAAAAATAGTGGAATTAACTACTTTTGGAGTGTCAAAAACTCGTTGGAAGTACTTGATAAATTGCATGCATATATTGGTGATTTTGAATCTGTTCAAAGTTTTGATTTTTTCACCCTATATACCACTTTGCCTCATATTCTTATTAAGCTAAAATTTACACACCTAATTAAATGGGCATTTAAAAAGTCGGAATGCGAATACATATGTTCAAACTCTTTTAGGACATTTTTTAGTAGCAACAAACAAAAGAACTATGTCAATGGGACATGCTTTGATATTATATCTACCCTTGAATTTTTACTTGATAACATTTTTGTTCGCTTTGGAGTTTCCGTATATCGTCAAGTTATCGGAATTCCAATGGGGACTAACTGTGCACCACTTACTGCGGACCTGTTTTTGTATTGTTATGAGTTACAATTTATGACTAAAATCAGCAAAGACCCTTCGAAACAACATCTGATACAAAAATTTAACAATACTTTTAGATATTTGGATGATATATTGGCTCTCAATAATGACGACTTCAGTATGTATACTAAAAATATTCATCCTGTTGAACTTACTTTAGATAAAACTAATACTAACAATGACCACTGTCCTTTCCTCGATCTTGATATCTATATCATTAACGGGAAGCTTAATACAAGAATTTATGATAAAAGAGATGATTTTTCGTTTCCTATCGTTAATTATCCATTCTTAGATGGTGACGTTCCCTTGTCACCATCTTATGGTGTTTATATATCTCAACTTGTACGATTCGCTCGTGTATGTAACAACGTATTAGATTTTAGCGAGAGAAATTTATGTATTACTGAAAAGTTATTACACCAGGGTTTTCGATATCATAAACTAGTCAAAACATTTACTAAATTTTATCATCGGTATAAAGACATCATTCGTAAATATAACTCAACATGCAGACATCTTATACGTTCGGGTATTTCACATCCAATCTTTTATGGTAATATTCTTTACAAAGCACAAAAATGTCAGTATTCACCTCAAAAGCTAACAAAACCTTTAAACAGACTTATTAAGAAGGGATATAGTTACGATACTGTTGTCAGGTCATTAAAGATTGCATATTTTGGCTTTAATATTGATTCACTTATAGGGTCTTTGCATCGGAAATAACATATTTATTCTAAAACCAGTTGTTGGCATGACCCGGGTTATGTTCTTTTCATATATTTTATGATGGTATGATACTAAAACCTTAACGGGAGGGATTGTGCCTGATATTCATATGATGAAGACATAATATTTCAATCAGTTTAATTGAGGTCTGGAGCTGGCATGTCAGTAACTGCCAGTAGTCCTTTGTTAATCTATGTATCATTGTAAATTTGCTTAGTTTCTTCTGTTACCTTTTCTGACATTGGACTACGACTTCTTTTAAATTGAGTTTTACTGTGCGTATTGCTGTGTGTTTGTTTATTCTACATTGGCTAGAGGTATAGGGTTAAGATCTCACAAAACATGTTTGACCTGTTGATACAATTTGTAACGCATTTTTGTTATTTAATGTTTACTTAATTAGTGTTATATTTCGTCTCACTATTTTTAATATATACCGCATTTGATAAGTGTTTGGTATGGCGATAAATTTTCACTTCTGTTCTCGTACTATGAACACCAAATTAATTTATTTTATAAAAAATAATTTCCCTACTCCATGTATGTCTTACAACAAAATTATTTTTATTTACCTGTGTACGATTTTTTATTTGGCAGCATTTTGTCCAAGGTTATGGTTGTCTTTCTGATATTGTTTTACATCCCTCCCCCCATTTTTTTTATTATTTTGTATTAACATTGTGTCATAGATCAATTTTATTCGTTCAGTGTATGTTTACTTGTTTTTGTTCATATGTCTTTTGATTGAGGTAAGCCTTTTCAATTGATATTTTATAGTGTGTCTTTTTATGTTGTGATGTTACACTATTGTTTCAGGTAAGGGTAAAGGTTGGCACCTGCTTAATTGTTTAAACCCGCTGTATTTGTTTGCACCTGTCCTAAGTCAGGAACCTGTTGTTCAGTGGTTGTCATTTGTTGATGTGAATCATTAGTGTTTCTCGTTTCTCGTTTTTATATAGATTAGACCGTTGGTTTTCCTGTTTGCATGGTTTTACAGTAGTCATTTTTGGGGCCCTTGATAGCTTGCTGTTCGGTGTGAGCCAAGGCTCCGTGTTGAAAGTCGTACTTTGACCTATAATGGTTTACTTTTACAAATTGTGACTTGGATGGTGTGTTGTCTCATTGGCACTCATACCACATCTTCTTATTTCTATTAACCCCGAGGCATTTTTGCGCCTGTCCCAAATCAGGAGCCTATGGCCTATGTAAGTCTTGTATGTTTTTTTTAATTTTAGTTCATCTATATGTTTCGGAGTTTAGTGTGACGTCCATTTTCACACAACTAGTACACATTTTTGGTTAGGAACCAGCTGAAGCCCGCCTCCGGGTGCGAGATTTTCCCGCTGTGTTGAAGACCCATTGGTGGCCTTGGGCTGGTTTCTTCTCTTCGGTCGGGTTGTTGCCTCTTTGAACCATTCCCAATTTTCAATCTCAATTTTATGCTCCATGGAGCATCTAATACTATTCTCTTAACCACTTTGACATATTGAATTAACTTATTTTAATGTTTCTCTTCGGTGGACTTAACTGGTTAAAAATATCACAAGTTAAGAGTATATTAACCAGTATACATGTTATTTAAACTTTAAATAAGAAGGTGTGGTATGATTGACAATGAGACATTTTCCACCAGAGACCAAATGACACAGAAAGTAACAACTATAGGTCACCGTGCGGCCTTCAACAATGAGTAAAACCCATACCGCAAAGTCAGCTATAAAAGGCCCCGAAATGACAAATGTAAAACAATTGAAACGAGAAACTAACGGCATAATTTATGTACAAGATAATGAAAGAAAACCAAATATGATAAACAGCAACAAACGACAACCACTGAATTGCAGGCTCCTAAATTGGCACATACAGAATGTGGAGGGGTGAAACAAGTTAAACATATTGTCCATCAATGAATACTTCAATGTTTACATATATATGGATTTCTATGTTATTTTTTTACAGATGTCATGGTACCTTTTCCTGTTCCCTCTGGATCACCTTCAGGTCACGGACCAGCACCTTATCCTCCAGTAGTGATGCCACCATACAACCCACCATATCTGCCCCAAGGTAGATATATCTATAAATTTAAAATATATTTCATGTTTACCTATTGGATTATGTTTTTATACCCAAAATTCAGGTTGAGCAAAGTACAAGATTGCTCTGACGTCTGTCGACGGCCCAAGTCAGACCTAAATATGTCGTCAGATATCAAAGCAATCTTGGATTGATATAGGCATGCAGCTAGTTGAAGTAGTGTCCATATTTGTGATTGCAATTTTCATAAATCATACCTTTAATAACTGATTTATTTGAGTCCTACAGTATTACCAATTTGACAAATTAATGATTTTATTCAAATGGGGCACTCATCAATCAGATTAGGAAATTAATATTGCAACAAACTAGAATTGGGATTTGTTTCCTTTACCAAAATAAATCCTGTCATCATTATTTCAATGTATTTAACATTTTTAAGCTGGTCCTCATAAAACAATTATGGGAGTAGCAACTGGACAGCTTTGATGGCAGAATATACAATGATATATGAATATCAAGTTGACTTGTTTTGTTTTCAATAGCAGATAATTTTTATGACTTTATGTGCTGAAAAAACTGAGCAGCCGTGATGTTATACAGAGCAGATTTCAGGAATCTTGGTAAATTTGAAAAAAAATCAATTTGATAAACATGAAAAATTTACCTTACAATCAGTGACCACGAATGAGCTATTTGATGAGTTAAAATATCTTGATAAAACATCAGGTAAGGATAACATTGACCAACTATCCTAAAATGGAGTACCCTTCTATTGCATCTTCTCTCACATATATGTTCAACAGAATTATAGATACTCGTACACATCCTTCTTTTCTAAAGAATGCCAAGGTAACACCAGTTTACAAGGATGGTAAAAACAAATTACAAAACTATATCTGTTCTTTCAACTTAATTAAAACAAATAGAAAGATATGTTTCTCATAACTTGTGCAAATACTTTCGTAATTTTTTTTTACATCCTACGGAATCTGGTTTAGGCCACATTGTCAAACTGCCTATTTAATATCATTGATAAATGGTTACCAAGAATTTAAACCTTGCAATATTATAAGACTTCAAATTTTTTTTTTTTTTATCTGATAGATTAAGACATTCTTTGTTTAAAACTTGAAAGCTATGGATTTAATAAGCCTAGTGTTAGGTATCTCAAGTCATTCCAGAATAACAAATCACAACAGGTAAACATTTGTAAGGTTTACCCTGGACATCAATTTTTAGACTTTCGGTGTCCACCAAACTTATATACTTGGTCATATATTATTTGTGTTATTTATGTATTTATGAACAACATTCCCTTATGGAAAGAAAATATACATAATGATGTTAAAGAAGATTTATTCAGAGTTAAATAGTGATCCAAAATGAATAGCATGTTCATCAATACAAATAAAACATAATGTTTGGTTACTGGGACAAAGCAGAAGTTATTGATTCAGACTTATCAACCAAACTTACAGATAAACTCAGATTGTAAGAAAAATCTTCATGTATAAAATGAGGAGGGGCTAAAATTGATGACACACACTGAAGAAATCAAATAGATTCTTATATTATATCCAGAATATACTTTCTTTCTAAAATACAGTTAATTTCAGATTTAAGTGCTACTCATAGTACAATGAGGGTATAAACATGAAAGGATAACCAGACTATTTAAACTTCAAAAACGGGCAGCAAGATTCATTTTAGATACTGATCTTCTGTACCAAAAAAAAAACATTTGGCGGATGACCGTTTGAAATGGAATTTAGCACCACACATATGATTTCTCTATAAATATGTGAAAATGAAAGCATTATTACACCTAGTTGAAAAGTTTAAACTGATATCAGATAATAAGCCATACTCTTTGAGAGGTGTTACTCAATGTAATCCGGTAGTTCCCAAACCAAAAGCTAGGCTGTTTAAGAAATCTTTTGTTTGTTATGGATCAGTTCTATGAAATCAACTGCCATCATGACCATCACAAATGCGAAAGTTCCTTATAATTTACTGTTTTCTCAAAGTATTATTTTGATGTTTTTATCATATGTGTTTTTGTTTTTTCAATTTTACTACATTTACCTCCTTATAAAAATAAGAAGATAAGGTATTTTTGCCAATGAGACAACTCTCTTTCAGAGATATACTAAAGTATACCGTACGGTCATTAACAAAGACCAAAACCCATAACGCATAGTCAGCTATAAGAGGCCCCGAAATGACAAAAATAAAACAATTCAAGCGATATTACGAACGACCTGATCTATGTACAAAACAATAATCGAACAAACTATTATGATGTATAGCAATAAACGACAACCACTGAATTGCGGATTTGATCATGTTTTTGGGCGCGCCATCTCTCCCTTACCCGAGACTATGGCGTAACAGCACAACATAAGAATAAACTATTAAGATAAGTTGAAACTCATTAGATCGATTCAAAGCACAAAAACAAATAAAACTAAAAAAAAACATAAAAGACATTGTTACAAATCTGAGAGGACTCACAGTTACTGCAAGCTAGCTTGTTCAAGCCAATGGCAAATGATAAAAAGTTCATGTTTCTAAGACTAAAATATCAATTAGAAAAACTAATTGTTTTATCTTTTATAATGATGCATTGAACTATATGATTATATAAATTAAGTATGTGTAAATGTCTCTTTTAGATATACTTTAGTTTGTATGTGAGGGCCTCAGGGGAGATTAGTTTGTTGTTACTAATAGTGTTGCCGCTATTTACCCTATTAAGATAAAGAATCAAAAACATATGAATCTACAAAGTTTTTTGGAGTTATGATATTACACAACATTTGTTTTGGACCTATTTCTGTCTTTCAAAACAATAGAAATTTACTAAAAATGTTAGAGAGGTTATGCTTGATTACTATGCCTGATGCAGGAATGACCACGTAAATACTTCCTGACCAATTGCAATTAAGTAATATTATTTTGATTTTCAAAAACAAGTCAAACAGTTCATCATTAGATGGCACAGAAAAAGACAGTAACACTTTACTTTTACCAACAACCATCCCTCTATAATAAATTTAAAAACATACTAAATAAATATTTAGATACCAGATCTATATTAAATCAGGGACTAAATATTAGAAGTATAGATCGATAGATAACAACATGCTACAGTTCGTATATACAACTGATAGTAGTAATAGTTTTATTTATTCACCAACAAATACAAAATCTGCATTTCATCTTATCACACCTGATCATCAGAAACAACTACAGTGAATAAAAGTATGCCAAACTTTGACAAACAAGTGAGGAGAGAGTTATTACTGTGGATAGATATAAGAAGATGTGGTATGAGTGCCAATGAAACAACTCTCCATCCAAGTCAAAATTTATATAAGTTAACCATTATAGGTCAAAGAGCGGTCTTCAACACGGGTCCGGTTTTAAGAGATAAATAGGGGATCAGGTCGCGAATCTTAAGATAGACCTACAATAATCAGGATATCAAAAGTAACGTTGCTGAAATTTGGGATTATTTTGTGTGTGTTAAGAAATTGGGTCACCAGAAGGAAATAAGGGCCATCTAATACTATGGTGGCTGATGATTATCTGTTCATATCTTAGAAGAGTAAACCTGTTTATGTATAATACCCAAACCTTGAAGTAGGGAGATATTTAATGATGCGTATTTCTTTTTTTTTTCTATCAGTTCTTATGTCGGTTTGAGATTTTATCACAATAACATGGAATATATATATATATATATGTATAGTTCAATCTAGCTTTTGCGGGTTTTGATATTAACTGTTCAAGAGTTGTTCCCCTTATTTTCATTAAAGTTTTCATCAAAAGGGTACCGATGATAATGATAATACCGCTTGATAACATTGTTTGCAACTGAAAAAAATTGTCATGGACCATAAAAGACCAGTTTGATATTGATGGTTTTGACATTTACCTTTTTTTAGCTATTCCCCTTTCTTAAGATTTTAAAGGTTTCCAGTTGATAAATAAAGTACCACTTGACATTTGAACACAATGGTATGGATGGTAAAATACAGGTGAACTTCAATTTTGATGGTTTTGAATCATAAAATACAGGTCACATCTACCTGAATTTTGGTTTTTACATTTACTGATAAAGATAAAATTGAGAATGGAAATGGGGAATGTGTCAAAGAGACAACAACCCGACCATAGAACAGACAACAGCAGAAGGTCACCAACAGGTCTTCAATGCAGCGAGAAATTCCCGCACCCGGAGGCGTCCTTCAGCTGGCCCCTAAACAAATATATATACTAGTTCAGTGATAATGAACGCCATACTAAACTCCAAATTGTACACAAGAAACTAAAATTAAAAATAATACAAGACTAACAAAGGCTAGAGGCTCCTGACTTGGGACAGGCGCAAAAATGCGGCGGGGTTAAACATGTTTATGAGATCTCAACCCTCCCCTATACCTCTAGCCAATGTAGAAAAGTAAACGCATAACAATACGCACATTAAAATTCAGTTCAAGAGAAGTCCGAGTCTGATGTCAGAAGATGTAACCAAGAGTTTGTTTGTAAGTGTTACAACTAAAATGACTAGATCACCATATTCTAGTTTTCATTTTGAAATATTAATTTCAATGGCAAATTTACCACCTTATCATAATCATTTAGCAGCGTCATTTAGCAGCGCTAAGGATTCTTCATTAATTGAACTAAAAATACTGAATTGAATAAATTCTTGAAAAAATAGTTGAGCTTTTCCAACGAATGTGCCTATTCTTAATAAAACTATTACACTTGTTGTCTCTTTTATACATTTTTTTGGTCTTACGTTTTTTTTGTATTGAACTTGTAAGGACCTTGTTAGTTGCTAGATTTATCAATATCATAGAAGGTGGTCGTTCACAGGGGAACTAGTGAACCATTAGGGTTCCAAATGGTTAAGTTAAAGTCATCCTTTCGAAAGTATAGGACATCATCACAAATATGGAATATCTGTGTCACAGATGACCTAGCATATGCTTTAATTGTCATAACCATAGTCCAGTCCTCTTTTCCTGGAATGTGACATCATTTAATTTGTACTTACTATGCGCATATATACTGCATATGACGGGTGTCACTTGTAGAGCAGAATCTGCTTACCCTTACTCACGGCACCTGACATCACCCCTTTAACGGCAATTTGTATATTTTCCCTTTGAACTTACTCCCAAATATTTTTTTTTATATCTTGGACTGGACCAAATACTCGAAAATATTAGGCAATGACGTCACCTTACAGTCAGCAATGTCACGCATTTATGTCCATCCAATTCAATTTATCAAAGAAATGCACGCGACTTCATTCATACAACCGAACAACTATGACAACTTTTTCTACGCGTGAAAATAAATTCACTTACTATCTCATTTCATTTTATATTTCAAAACAAAAAATATATTGTGAAGACAGAATTGCTGATAAAAAGAACAATGTTATATTGATATTTCATTAATTCGAATATTAGCCCGCCCGTCATACATATGTTAAGTCGATTTTAACTTTTCTACACTGAAATTTAATTCATATTTACGAAATCCACAAAATTAAAAGTTATTATCTGTTAATACATACTAATTTGAAACAAACACTTTTAAATAATGCATCGAAGTTTTGCAGACTGGTATGGTTTTTGTTGATTTTCAAATCTCATCTAGTCTGAAACTTCAACAGTAAGTCCGTTTTTTAAACTTTTTTATTGGTGTATTATATAAAATGATTCATAATTTCCTACAGACTGGATGGCAAACATAGTGGCAAAATATGTTTATTTCATAAGAAATACAATTAAAAGATTCCTTTATCATGTTTACATTGAATAATTTTTTTGATATAGGTAACCAAGATTCTAGAAGGCACAAGAGAGGAAGAGGAGGTAATAACAGAGGAAGAGGTGGCAAATACAGGCAAAAGGATGAAGATGAGTCACATCTAACTGATGACAGCTACCAAACTAATCGTGGTTATCAAGGACATAGAGGAAGAGGTCGTGAACAAAAAAGAGAAAGAGGAGGACATGAATATAATGGAAATAGAACTAAAGTAAACGAAAATGAAGATTTGGACAATTAAGGAAATCATAGAGGAATGGGAAAAGATAGAGATAAATGTCCTGGAAGAGGTGGTAAACAGCAACATGGGAGGAAATATGAACAGGACGATGAAGACATACCAGGTGTAGATGAAAATGATGTTTTCAAATTCCTGATCAAATCTTTTAGTGGGGGATGTCCTTTCGAAGAATTTTAAAGCAATGTCATCTTTTTCCTAAGGGGTCTAATATCTGTCAGTGGTTTAGAAAGCATAGTCGGAAATTTCGTGTCTTCTGGGACGGAAACGATATTGTTTATCTTCAACCATTTTGTCTAGATGCCAGAATCTGTGGCAAATGGAATTACAAGCAAAATCCAGGTCAATGTCAGAATGATCAATGTAATTCTTTCCACATCTGTCGTCGCTTCATAAGAGGCAACTGTAACGAAAGTAATTGTCCACTGTCTCATACTTTTACAAATCCACACAATCGGCATTTAAAGGATAAACTTGGAATCAACGATTTCAGTGATACTGACATCAAAATTGTCCTTAATTGTAATTCTCCGTCAGTTTGTGCAGATTATATATACAACAATGGTTGTAAGGTGGAAAATGGAGAAAAAAGATGCCCACATTTACATTTATGTGAGAAGAACATATTTGGAAATTGCAAAGACCCATGCAAGTTCGAGAAAACTCACTCTATCACTCAGGTTCATAATAATTGGGTTCTAGGATCATGGCATATGAATGAATGGCCAGAGGCACACGTATTGAGGTCTATATATGTACCACCCAGACAGAAAAAAGTAAATGATGATTATTCCGATGATTCTAACATCAGGCAAGATGAAGATTATGATGACGATGCTAGTGTTCGTTATAACAGTGATGTAAATGTCAGTAGTGAAATTGTTCCAAGTACTGCATCTGGTCCAGCCAAAATATTCAATAAGTCGATAACCTCTGTTGAAAATCTTAGTATAGAAGATGTTAGGGAAAGAAGAAAGATGAAACCTGGACGCAGAGACAGATTCAAATCATCAAAAGATATCATTTCTGGAAATGTTGGAAAAGACGACCAAGGTCTTCCTTAAATGTCTGAACCACAACAACAATATGTTGACATTAAAGAAAAAGAGAGGTTATTGATGGAAAAGTACAAACAGGAGAAACAGGGAACCAGTTCTGGTAATGTTGTAAAGCCAAAGCCTCCGCCAAAACCTTCAAAACTGAGTCCATCTGATCCAGATTATCAGGAAAAGGACCCTTCTATGTTAAAGGATGAAACAGAAAATTCCAAAATCTGCATTTTTGTGTCTAAGGAAAAATGTCAAGCTGCATCATGTAAAAACCTGCATCTGCCTAGCGCTATTCCCTACTTGTGGCAAATAAAAATGTTTGGCAAATGGTTTTCTCTGACTTTGGCAGAAAATGAGAAAATTGAGAAAGGTTACTGCAATCTACTTGATATTGAATCAACTGAAGTAAGTTTATACTGGTTTCCATAGTTACTTTGTTATTTTATTCTATTGGAAGAAGGTAGAATTAAGAATTCTAATTAAGCCTAAACATTTTCAAACAATACTATATTTGTTAGATCCTTTCAAAGTTATGTTATTTTAGTGATGAATTAATATGGTGATATTTTCTGGTCACTTAATGGTCATTTGTCATAAATAATAGACAATTAAATTATTTAGGAACTTAAATGTTTTAACCATTGAGATATTATATTAACATACACATATTTTCAATATGTTTTGGTGAGGCAGATGGTTTCGTCATAGTATTAATAGGAAAATATGAAAAGGGACAGTTTCGACAATAAAAACTTATTATTAATCAACCAAAAACATTCATATGTTATAAGACATAAGTCTATCAAACACCAGTATTTGTCTTTAAAATTTTGTCTTGCATATTGGCATTAAGGTCAAAGATTTCTAACATTTATTACAAAACAGCGAAAACAGGCTTAGTTTGAGATCTTCTTATTAATATTTGGAATATAGGCAAATAGCTTTACCCATGAAAATATGTTGCAACAAAATATATTTTACAAGGATATCAATGGGTGTACAATATCTTTGTGGGTAAAGCTGTTTCTCATATATATTTTGAATAAAAGTTTATGCGTGAAATGGTTTTCTTAGATAAGATATGTAGATTTCAACATATCAATGATATTATTATGACATCACAAGTGATCTTTCTGCACTTAAGTCCAGATTATATATATCTGGTCATTTATCAATAACATTTACAGAATTTTACAAGGCATGAAAAAGTTTACTATTTTGTTATTTCAGGGTTCAAATTATTGCTTTTATCATACCCCTTCCTTTGCTTTACCAATTCGCAATAAAATTTTACCACCACATTAGCATACGTCCAAGAAAGCGCCTTTTTGATTATGAAATTTTGAGATTTGTTTTTAAAGTTACATGATTTTAAATGCCAGATTAAAGGCAATTTTTTACACATAACACACTGACTAGAGTATAAGATTGGTTTAATTAAAACTTTTCCTATACAAAGGATTAATAAAAGGTAACTAATTTTGAATATTTTCTGTGTTTATTATTCAAGAGTTATAGGACTTTATCTGACATATTCAAGTTAATGATCTACATGGTGTACACTAACCTGAGTGTTTTAATGTATTTGCTTGAACTCATTTGTTAAAGTTATAAAGGTATCTTTTGATTTTGAAAATTTCTGATTTTTGATTCCAGAGTTATGGGACTTTCAAATATACGATTTAAGCAAATTTTCATTTTTTATTTTGCAAATTTGCGTGTCTGATATTTCAGAGCTATGGTACTTTTAGCAGGCATATTTTAGGCAATATTTATATGCCTTAGGATATACATATATATATGTCAATGCTACTTTTTCTACAGGGGCAATTTACGGGTTTCTGTTGAACAAACCTTCTAAATAATCCATTATATTATTGAAACAATTTCAAGAAACAAAAGAAGGGTGTATCAATGTGTATAATGCGCTCCTAAAATCATTTTGTAAGATTTGTTTATGTGCTTTGTTCTGATCTGGTGAGTCATGCCTTTTCAACTGATTTTTACAGTTCTAACGTTGTGCTATTAGACCACTGTCCCATGTGAGGGGAATGATTGAGGTATCCCAAACATGTTTAACCAAGCCACATTTGATATGTTCTTGTCCCAAGTTGGTAGCCTGTGATTCAGTGTTGTTGTTGGTTACAATGCTTTGTTTTTATGTTATTGGTTTTGACGTAAATTATGCCTTTGGATTTCTTGTTTGAATTGTTTCACATTTTGCCATGCCAGTGTTTCTCATAGCTTTCTATACGATATGGGTTTGACGCATTGATGAATACAGTACTTTAACCTATAGTAGTTTACATCCTCTGCCAGTCTGACTGATGGTTTTCTTATTGGCAATCACATCTCTTTCTTTTTGAATATGTAGAATGAGGCAAGACATAGTACTAGGATGGCACGAGTTCACTATGTCCTCAGTGTATGAAAGTTTTTTCAGAATAATCTGCATTGTTAAATTAATATCTCAAAGTGTTCATTTGTATAGGTAAAGTTTCCAACATTTTTCTATTTTGATGTTAATCTTTTGACAAATTCTGAAAAATTTATCCGAAAAAAGTTTTGTATTTTTCAAATTAAGTTGTTGTGTAAAGCTTGCCACACGAAGGTTTTTTGTGAACATTGCAGTAAATCAATACTAAGTTGTGGTGTGGTATAGTAGTAGGAACAAATGGCATCATATCTCTTACAATTGGAACAAAAGAGAAATACTTATATCAAATTCAATAGTATTATTAATTTAACAAATGCATGGTATATAAGCTCTCATACGTTCGAATACAAATAGCCTATGAGATATACATGTAAGTAATTATATATTTGAAAGTACATAATATATGCTTACATGCGGGTTTCATAATTAATCAAAAACACCATTGCACAAGCCAGTGTAAATGTCTGAAAAAGCCACATAAATTTTATAAGACATTTTATGACAGACTGATTTTCTGGCTCGTGAGTCAAAACGTTGTTCATGTGAAGGTTGATTGAATATACTGTTTATGAATACAGGATTTCAAAGGTGAAAAAAACTTACAAAATGTAATGATATACTATTGCTATAATATAAAAGTCACAGACATTTTAAATTAATTCTAGGTGAAATACAATGGTAGTAAATACAGTTATCATATTTGGTTCTCAAAGATGCAGGCCATAATTTATGATGTTGATGGTCAACCAGCCGTTGATGACAACCAGCATGACCGGTGGTGTAATGTCAGACGTCTGAGTACCCCATCCTTTACTGAGAAGAAAATGATGGTTGATAGTTATCTCACACAGTGGAGATGGTACTGGAAAGATGACAGTAAAAAATGGAATCTGTACAATAAGGTAAGCACGGTTCACATTTTTAGATGCTTTATACACATATGTATCTTATTAATTTGAAAAAATTGTGCTTTTCATCCTTAATCAATCAAATTGTAATATATGTTGAATTCCACATAGTCATTGCAATGTTAATAATTACAATCCAGTTTTGACACATATATTTCGTATACAGATGGTAGAGATAAATTATTGTTGATATTGAGAACACAAAGTAAGTTACATGTATTTTAAAATGCAATCATAATGATTTTCGTTTGCATAAAGCTTGATGTTAGGGTGTCAAACTTATATATTTGTCACACTTCAAGTTTGTGTTTACCACGGAAGTGGTGTTATGGTAGCTTTGTCGTCCGAGTGCACGAGGCCGTTGGCTCGATCCTTGACAGGGTCAAACAAAGACTTGAAAATAAGTATGCGCTGCTCCTCCACTTCACATGTGACATGTAGAAGTTACAGCAAAGACGGGTCATCTTGGAATCCTTTTATGATGAAAGGTATTCCTGTGAACTGTAACCTTGTGAACAAGCATGTTAAAAATTCTGCTCAGCATGTCGGACTAGTACAAACTAGGATTAATTTTCATATCACATTAAAGAGATGCAAAAGATACCAAAGGTACATTCAAACTCATAAGTCGAAAATAAACTGATAACGCCATGGCTAAACAGGAAAAAGACTAATAGACAAACAACAGTACACAAAACACAACATAGAAAACTAAAGACTGAGCAAGACAAACCCATCAAAAACTGGGGGTGATCTCATGTGCTTCGGCAGGGTAAGCAGATAAACATGTTTTGGGCCTGATTTATGCATGTAACGTGACCACTAGATTTTTTAAACACCGATTTATCATCATCATCATCACATTTATACAAAAAAAAATTAATGTAAAAAAATGCGACAGCATAAGGGTTACTGTCATGGTTGACTTGGGGTATAAAAATATTGTCATCCCTTGATTTCTGTTGTCTGACAGTACATCCCCTGCTAAAGTGCGGTGCTGTTTTTCGAAAAAATTAAGAAATATCATCATTTTGAAATATTTTTTTTTTATTCTTTTTCATAGAATTTATTTGTTTTCATAGGATGTTTTTCTGTTCACCCTTGAGAGGAAGTATCAGACAAAACAGAAGACTTATTTGTATACCAGGGAGAACTACTTTTGTATGTACAGGATAGATTTCCTGAAGATGATCCAGGTTAACCTCGAAACAGATAGAAAACAAAATATTACCAGACGTCCACTGTTTGTTTCGAAAGATGATGTGAATGAGAAAAAATTGTAAGTTGAGAGTTGAATTATTTGAATTTTTTTTTAGCGTACAGGGATCAAACTCAATTCTGCATACAATAGAAATGTGTTTTAATGAACTCTTATATCAGAGCATACAGTGAATGTTTTCAAGTATTTACATGTGTTATCCAAACAAATTTGTCGGTCTTAAAAGAGTAAGTATTGGACAGGTTTCATTGTATATGGTATTGAAAATGCTGCATATTTTTCCACTGTTAAAATGAGTATAAGACTAAAAAGATGCAATATCTAAGGTAACTTTTTCGTGCCTGAGACATAAGTCTTGGAGTGAGACATAGTGTTCCTTCATTATATCGTCGGGGTTTCGTCAAAATTCAGGTTAAGTCTGTGGTATACATTTTTTTAAAACCATCCATAAATTTGTCAAGTTTTCATGGAATTTTATGAAACTTGAATATACTTCTCTTTCATGATCAAAAGACATTATCCACAGCAAAATGTTGACAATATTTATTTCAATTTATCCATAGTTTACTTTAAAATGCAATTACACTCTCAGAAAAAAATTAATTTGAATTACTATGATAAAGTAGTTTCAAAAATTACTAAAATCAAGTAAAAATTATTGACTATGGTTAGTAATTATTAATTATAACTAGCAAAAGTAGTAATTTATTTCTTAGTGCTAGTACTTCTTGTAAATTTTAAGTAATTCATTTCAGTAATGTTGAGTAATTAATATTAGAAAAAAATATCCCTGTAATTCATATATATGAGCAATTATAAGTTATATTTTATGTATTTTCAAGAAATCCTGTTTGGTAATTTATAGTAAATGCAAATTATGATTGAATGTTACTTATAAGTATATATTCATAAGAAATAATTAGCAATCTAAAATAATTACCAAAGTAAATGTTAGTAACTCAAAGTAATAACCAACGTAAATGCAAGTAATTAAAAAAATTACCAAGTGATTTAAAGCAATAATATATAATTATAGCCTTCTTATATCGGCCAATACATGTTTTTGTTAACGTGGTGTAAGTATTTTAACTAAAGATGCTGTCCGAAGTCAATATTCTTTGATGGGATATGAAAACATGTATTGACCAATAGGAAAAAGCTACAATTGATTTATTATGATATAATATTATTCAGAAGCTGTAACTTACATTTCAAGATTGATTATTCAATATATACTTTCTTGAGTTCTTTCATGTTATGTTCAACATGAGCTAACCTACCAAGCCACCCTTTGGTGCTACATGTTTTATTCATTTCAAATAGTACACACACAGTGACCAGAAAAATGATAACATCCCTATGCTCTTTTTGTGCATTTCTGCATTCTTGGTATGCATGTCAAATTAAAATCGTGCAAGTCTTTCGTCCAGCTAACTAAGGTTTCAGCTCCCTCAGGCAAAGTTGGCCTTAGATGGATTTGGCTATTTTTTTAGGTCCTTTTTGGTTTATAGCTCTTCAACACTTTTGGTTTATATACATCCTTGGCTTCCAAATATTCGGCTTTGAGCGTTCCTGATGAAGGTAAATCCAGAAAAGCGCTTCGGACGCATGACATTTATAACGTGTTGTTTTCATTTTTTTACCATTGCAAACGTTTTTAATTAAAATCACTTTCAGTTCTTGCAAACGTTTTTAATTAAAATCACTTTCAGTTCTTGCCATTTTTTAACACAGCTTACCAAAGTAGAATACAAGCTTCATTCTGAGTGGCTAAAGTATCTTATCTTAATACCAAATACTAGCTATTTAAAACTGTAATTTACAATCCTATTTAGTAATATAAGGCCAATAGGTGATATTTTAGTACGACACAGCCAATGTGTGTTTATAATAGAACCATGACATGAATTAACGAATGACAGTTTGTGAATTATATGATAACATAATACTCCAAGTACTTTCAAGAAATCCAAAGTATTAATTTTCAGTAGGTTAAAGTGTTATTCCACGTTATTCAAAATAGTTAGTTTAGGTAATTCATAGTTATATCCAAAAAGAACAAAGAAATTTCAAGCAATCCAAAGCTTGTGAATATTACTTACATGTATGAAGTCATTGGTTTTTATTTTGTATATTGCCTACAGCTACCTATTTTCATAACCTCCATTGGTGTACTTTTCAATCAGTCTACTATAATCTGATCTTGTTAAACCATAGATCACTTGCCATGGGAATTTTGTATTTGGCATTGCAAAAAAAAAAATGATAATAAGAGACTCACAACACCGAAATGGTTATGTGGTAAGTTGCTCGCCACGAGTGTGGGAGGTCGAAGTTTCGGTCCTTAGCAGTGAAAACCAAAGACTGGAAACTGGTATTTGCTGCTTCTCCGTTCATTGTGCGAGTAGCTTAGAACAAAGACTGGTCGGATCAAAATCAAAATGATGTTTACAATACACGTGCAGGGCGACATGCCATCCTGTTGACTGTTGTTGCCTTGTGAACATCCACGTAAAATAAAACGGATCTGTGTGCTGGTCTAGTACAACGTATGGATCAGATTCCTATCGCATTACGATGTCCTGATATACATGTATTCATTTATCCATCAGCGACTTACAATTAATTATTTACACTGAATACAACTGTGAATTGTTCAATATATATCTGAGCCATATAGTTAAGTAATAGTGCTGCAAAGGTAAGAAAGGTCTGAATATGCATGTCAGCTAGCGAACTAAAAGTTAAGTAAAAATATTAGTTTCGTAATTTCAAGTGATTCCCTTAGCAAGTAGAAATTAGTAATAATAATTAATTGTAAGCAAAATAATAAGTAATATTTATCTACTTAAATAAGTAAAGAAGACTACTAACTATTTTTTTTCAGAATTTTGACAAAGTTTTTTTTTGCTGTTTACATTTAGATACAGTCTCGGGTTTTAAGTGTTTAGTCTAGCTCTAGACTACAAGTATTATTTTAGATATCAATAACTTCATCAGACCTTCATAGAACTTTATAATTCTTAGAGCGTTTCTTGTTTGTAATTTAGAGATAAATTCTGCAGCAAACTTTTGTAAATATTTTTTTTTTAATTTTGTCCTTTTTCATACTGATAGGTGGACTTAGTTTTTATGCAAAAAGGTTCACACAGTTGGGGTAATTTTTTTTTAGGAACTCAATAATTTTGTCAAACTTGCAAGCAATGTTACTTTTCATGGACAAAATCTTTTCCATGATCAAGAAATAATATTTGGCAAAAACATTTGGATCTATCTTTGTTCTGTTTTGTTACTAAAACATTAACTTAGTTCTTAAACATTAAACTTCACACTGACAGCAGCAATCAAGGCTAGGAATTGTTTTTCATTGTTAAAACCTCTTAAAAGAATAAATTAGAATATTTTTTTAATTCTGCGTTTCATTCCTTATGTAGTCCAGATAGTATACAGTTCCCAGCTGCTATGAAAACAGCCAAGCCAGTGCATTTCTACCACTGGGATTGTGCACATGATTTTGAACTGGTAGAACTCGACATCAAAGGGAAGGAGTTCAATGAAGTATTAAAGTCGCTACAAGATTCCATGAGCCAAACTCTATTTGAGACTAAGTTTATTTTTAGAATTCAGAATAGAAAACTATGGAGTGAATATGACATGTGAGTTTGGCTTTTATTATAATACTAATGTTAAACATCCATCATTAGATATTCTAATTATACTCCAACTTTCTAAAGTGAGCATGATAAAGCGAGTGGGAAGATCTCTTTTGTTCGTTAGTCCTTTTATTCCACATTTGTATCCATAACTCCTGCTGAACTGCTTGACAGAAATTTCTCTCATTTTCGTAAAATCTTAACATATAATGCACTTTTGCACCTCTTATTTCATTTCTTCATCTGAATGATTTGTTGGGGTTTCTTTTTGATGACGTGGAAACGGAATTTGTCATATCTGCACACAATGGTAAAACATTTGTATCGGCTTCTCATCAAACCCGAATCATAATTAAATGCTAGCTATAAAACAAGGTTTAATCAACCATTTTTTACATACGGAAATGCCTGTACCAAGTCAGGAATATGACAGTTGTTTTCCATTCTTTTGCTGTGTTTGATCTTTTGATTTTGCCATTTGATAAGGGACTTTCCGATTTGAGTTTTCCTTGGAGTTCGGTATTTTTGTTAATTTAATGTGTAATGAAAACTTCTAAGCATCTTTATGATTGCTATTATTAACCGTCTTTTTTGTTTTTGGTCCGAAAATTTATTTGGGTTGCCCATAGCAAATCATGCATTTTCAATGAATTGGGCTTTGCGATCAGTACCTCTAGTTACATATTGTCTTAATGTCAAATGTTGGAAAATCTTAAAAGAAAAATGAAGGATACATCAAAAGTTTGAAGGATAGAAGGTTACAATTTTCTTTTTAAAAATATTATCAGCCGTAAGATAAATACACTTTATATTGAGATATGTTTTGTGTTTGTCTAATGTTTGCTATGGTTGCTGTAAGCATTCAATCACTTAATTTACCCTATACACATATTTCAATGTCCAATTACTCGTGAAAAAAGACCACCACAAAGATATGACTGCATCTTTGTGAACCCAATCCGCAAACCTGATGCAAAAATAACTCAAAATTATTACATTCTATATACATATACAGTTTGCATAACATGTACATAGGAACTTATCAACTGTTATCTTTTATACCTCAGAAAGAAGAAGCTCATTTTAGCTGATGCAGAAAAAGACGGTCGTGGTCAAAGTATTAACGAGAGAGATTTATTCCACGGCACAGATTCGTTGGATGCATGCCGTGGTATTTGTACTAATAATTTTGACTTTAGAACAAGTGGTCGCATTGCTACTGTATATGGGGAAGGTTCCTACTTTGCTGTTCTTGCTAAAATGAGCCATAGTTATACAAAAGCAGATTTACCTACAGATATTCGATTCATGTTTAGAGCCAAAGTTTTGGTTGGGCAGTTTACAACAGGAAATCCTTCCCTCCGTCGACCTCCAGAAATCCCTGGAAAGGTACATAAGTTGTATGATTCCTGTGTGGATAAAGATCAAGATCCTCAAATCTTTGTTGTGTTTGACAGAAATCAGTGTTATCCTGAATACCTAATTATGTACAGAGAAGCAATGCCTCCAGTGGATCAAACCATTACTGCTCCGAAACCTTCCACAATACAAAGTTTCCCTAAGTCGTCTGATGGAAGTGCAGGAAAATCCTCAGTAGCTTTGAAAGCACGTTTAAATGAAGATACATGTGTTGTTCAGTAAACAAAATTGCTGCTAAAATTTCCGTTGGAAGTAAACTTTTCATAATTTTGACGAAGGATTTTGTTTCCAGGTTTTATATATAAATATGCTATCAATATCCTAACTTAGATACATATATGACGTCAGAGAAAAACATAAAAAATGTGAACTGATTTTCAAATAGCATGTGGAATCGTCTTAAATCATTAATGAAATCCTATGTATTTTGTCTGGTAAAACATGATTTGATATTTGACAGGAGTAAATGAGTTTACTCTTTGTTAAAGTTGATTACTAACAACTAAATTTCCTGTTAATATGGTTACAGATTATAATTGTTTGTTAAAGTTTACTATGACAGACAAAATATTCTGTTTCAGACAATAGTTGGTCATTCAAATTTTAGTGTGTCATAATAGTATTGAATTGAATTTGACTCATATTAAATTTCAGAGTTCTTGAAAATTGTCAGTTTAGATCATTTGACAGATAAAAATTTGAAATATATAGCATTTGTTGTTTCAGTGTGTTTTTGACTGGCATATATCAAACATTGACAGTCCAAATGTCCAATAAGGCCAAATTTTTTTCAAGAAATAATTTTAGATTAAAAAAAAACAATATTCCATTGCTTTGGGTTTTCAATTGCATTTACGGATATCGTGTTGTGAATTGATATGCAAAATCTCTTTTGTTTTCCACTATTGATAAGCATGATATAGTAAAAGTTCATTTCAATCTCATAATATGTATTGCCTAAATTTTGTTTGTCTAAATGGGATTGTTAACATCCTTTTCCATTGTTATTTTTGGAGATTATAGTTGACTCAATAGCAATCGTACCACATCTTTTGATTTATCAATTATTAATAGTATGATGGACTTCAATTATGACAAGGGTTATACTACCAATTTGAATGTGACAGGTAAAGTACTATATTTTTACATGGGTCATGGTCATTTAAGGTTGTATGTCTATTTGCTGTATGCAAAATTACCTTTAAAATATATGGTGGTTGCTGTGGATTAAGTGTGGTTTTTTCCTACTTGTCCAAATTCATTTCAATAGAAGCGTTTTCCACCGACATTTTCCCAAAAGATGCAAGTGTTTCATAGTGCTGAATTTAATTTTCTTTCGAATCTAAATTTTGGAAATTCATTCAACAAATTTTAGACAGGCTCCAATTATGATTTCTACCTTTATATGTTAAAAATAAAAGATCGTACAATAACGTTTTGCAGGTTCCAAGTTGTGAGTGACTTTCATAGCCCTATTTGATAACCTACAGCACAATAAAAACACAAATTTTGTGTCTCTTGAATGTTTATACAAGTTTATCGATGAGACTTTACAAAAAGCAAATTATCAGGTTTAAAAGATTAAATGCGCTGTGGTTGAGAATTTTTAGTATTTAACATACTTATATTATTATCATGACTACCATGAAATAATTCATTTGAGTTTTTGGTAAAAAAAAATAATGCATTGATTTTATGTTGTTGTTAATATTGAGAAGTAATAAAGTATGTCATTAAAGTAAAAAAGTGGAAATTATATAAAGAGAGTTTCAAAATTATGTTTCTTATAGTTAGATTTTTACATTTTGTTGTAAGTTAGATTGTATTCAAAACTTTATGAAAACTCTTTGTTTGTACATTTATATGGTGTATTTATTTTATAAAGCATCTGCCCACATTGCCTAGGCTAAAACAAACAATAGTATTAAGATGGTGAGTCTAATACCTATAAAACAAACAATAGTATTAAGGTGTTGAGTCTAATACCTATAATACCTAACAATATATGGTTATAATCTAAGATGAAGCCAATGTTCCTTGCAAAAAATGTATTAGAAGTAGATACGAATATTCATGACATACAAAAGTAGATTCAAGAGCAAAAGTGCAGAAATAACTGCATCTAGTTATACATCCGTTGTTAGGTTGCTGCCCCTGAATTGGTAGTTTTAAGGAAATTTTGCAGTTTTTGGTTATTATCGTGAATATTATTATAGATAGAGATAAACTGTAAACAGCAATAATGTTCAGCAAAGTACGATCTACAAATAAATCATTATGATCATAATTGTCAATTGACTCCTTAAGGAGTTTATAGTCAATTTTTCGTAAAATCTTCTCAACTTAATCTACTGGGCCAAATAGAATTAAACGTAGCCACAATTGTTAATAGGGTATCTTGATTGTAAAATGTATCCGATGACCCTGTCATCCAACATACATGGCCGCCATGGCTTAACATAGTGAATAGGGATTTTTTATAGAAGTTTACGGGAAAATTGTAAAAAAAATAATTTCAAATGGTACCAACTTGAAAACTAATTCAAATAATGATAAGGGGGTTTCAGTAACTATTGTAAGACTAAAATAGGATGACCTGCTTTTGATTTAACTACTGGGCCAAATATGTTTAACCAAACTTGGCCTCGATCATTATCAGGATACTGAATACTATTTATTATGATTGTAACCTTATTTTACATGATTTCAAAAAACAGTATATACAGGTGAGCGACACAGGCTCTTGAGAGCCTCTAGTTTCTTTTTTCACAGTTGGGCATTTTCTCTGTAATATGATTTATGTCCATTGCTTACAAACCAATCCGGGTATTAATATATATGTGGGTATCAATATGAATTGCTTACCAATGTTATGTCAACATTCTATTTAGTTTGTAAATATAAAAATGTTAAAAATTATTTACAATGCGATAAAATTAAACACAATATTTTGCTAGACAAACTAGCTTCATCGGGCGTGCAACTTTCAAAGTGAAATCGGATGCAGATAAAAAAAAATGCAGCTCATTGTATATGTATAAATATATATATATAATTCATCAATCTAAACTTTTTATGAATAACAACCTTGATGTAATCATTTTGGTGCTTGATCTATATTTCATTCATGAGAAACTTCAAATATTTATTTAAAAAAGGTTTATATCTTTGAAGCCTATTGTGATTTTGAATTAAAAAAAAAAACCTTTATTAACTTTTTAATTCAAGGGTCAGATCAAATGTTTATCCGTGCAAATTAATTACTTTTCCTGTAATCAATCATATTATAATACAAATGAAATGAATGTGCACAGCTTGCTTCTTTTGTTTGTTTTTGAAGTTGATTCTGTTATATTTCATATCATATAACTATGTATCAATATTGTATATGTAACAATGTATCCGTTTTGGTTTCAAAAAGTTATATGCTTGCGCGAAATTGATTAATGTTAATAGGACATTTTTATTTGATCACATAATATATTTTTTTTTTTTTTTTTTTTTTAATAAATAAATTAAAATCATTGTCTGTTCAAATTTAACTGAATGACAAAAATGATGTAAAATGATTTGAATGATTAATTGATTGCTGCACGGATGCTTAACATAAAAAAACATACATGTTCCTTAAATTGATTGATTAATGTTTAATTTATGTGCAGCAGTATATTTACATGGATGTCCAAGACAAGAACATATACATATGGTAAGACTTCGGCTTTTAAGCATTAACTGACATTCATTCTGTCAGGTTTTTCGAAATCTAGTTTACAATACAACAAAGATCATGAAGCCTATTCAAATAAATTATTTCTTCATGTGTAATGCTATTAAATGACGAATGCTTAGTGGACAGTTTTATAACATTTTGATGGACAAGACCAGGCACCAAAACCACAAATGCCAAGCTTCATCTAGACCATCAAGATGCTTTTTTACATAACGGATGCCACTAGAAGAGCAGGATTTGCTAATCCCTTCTAGAGCTCATAAGAACACCCCAGTTTTTGTTGAGGTTCATTCTGCTCAGTCTTTATATCTTTTATGTAGTTTTTGTAGAATTATTTGTCTAAAAAATAATGCATTGATTTTATGTTGTTGTTAATATTGAGAAGTAATAAAGTATGTCATTAAAGTAAAAAAGTGGAAATTATATAACGAGAGTTTCAAAATTATGTTTCTTATAGTTAGATTTTTACATTTTGTTGTAAGTTAGATTGTATTCAAAACTTTATGAAAACTCTTTGTTTGTACATTTATATGGTGTATTTATTTTATAAAGTATCTGCCCACATTGCCTAGGCTAAAACAAACAATAGTATTAAGATGTTGAGTCTAATACCTATAAAACAAACAATAGTATTAAGATGTTGAGTCTAATACCTATAATACCTAACAATATATGGTTATAATCTAAGATGAAGCCAATGTTCCTTGCAAAAAATGTATAAGAAGTAGATACGAATATTCATGAAATACAAAAGTAGATTCAAGAGCAAAAGTGCAGAAATAACTGCATCTAGTTATACATCCGTTGTTAGGTTGCTGCCCCTGAATTGGTAGTTTTAAGGAAAGTGTGCAGTTTTTGGTTATTATCGTGAATATTATTATAGATAGAGATAAACTGTAAACAGCAATAATGTTCAGCAAAGTACGATCTACAAATAAATCATTATAACCAAAATTGTCAATTGACTCCTTAAGGAGTTTATAGTCAATTTTTCGTAAAATCTTCTCAACTTAATCTACTGGGCCAAATAGAATTAAACGTAGCCACAATTGTTAATAGGGTATCTTGATTGTAAAATGTATCCGATGACCCTGTCATCCAACATACATGGCCGCCATGGCTAAACATAGTACATAGGGATTTACTATAGAAGTTTACGGGAAATAATTTCAAATGGTACCAACTTGAAAACTAATTCAAATAATGATAAGGGATTTTCAGTAACTATTATAAGACTAAAATATGATGACCTGCTTTTGATTTAACTACTGGGCCAAATATATTTAACCAAACTTGGCCTCGATCATTATCAGGATACTGAATACTATTTATTATGATTGTAACCTTATTTTACATGATTTCAAAAAACAGTATATACAGGTGAGCGACACAGGCTCTTGAGAGCCTCTAGTTTCTTTTTTCACAGTTGGGCATTTTCTCTGTAATATGATTTATGTCCATTACTTACAAACCAATCGGGGTATAAATATATATGTGTGTATCAATATGAATTGCCTACCAATGTTATGTCAACATTCTATTTAGAATGTAAGTATAAAAATGTTGAAAATTATTTACAATGCGATAAAATTAAACACAATATTTCGCTAGACAAACTAGCTTCATCGGGCGTGCAACTTTCAAAGTGAAATCGGATGCAGATAAAAAAAAATGCAGCTCATTGTATATGTATAAATATATATATATAATTCATCAATCTAAACTTTTTATGAATAACAACATTGATGTAATCATTATGGTGCTTGATCTATATTTCATTCATGAGAAACTTCAAATATATATTTAAAAAAGGTTTATATCTTTGAAGCCTATTGTGATTTTGAATTTAAAAAAAAACTTTATTAACTTTTTAATTCAAGGGCCAGATCAAATGTTTATCAGTGCAAATTGATTACTTTTCCTGTAATCAATCATATTATAATACAAATGAAATGAATGTGCACAGCTTGCTTCTTTTGTTTGTTTTTGAAGTTGATTCTGTTATATTTCATATTATATAACTATGTATCAATATTGTATATGTAACAATGATGTGCGTTTTGTTTTCAAAAAGTTATATGCTTGCGCGAAATTGATTAATGTTAATAGGACATTTTTATTTGATCACATAACATATTTTTTTTTTTTTTTTTTTTTTAATAAATAAATTAATATCATTGTCTGTTCAAATTTAACTGAATGACAAAAAAATGATGTAAAATGATTTGAATGATTAATTGATTGCTGCACGGATGCTTAACATAAAAAAACATACATGTTCCTTAAATTGATTGATTAATGTTTAATTTATGTGCAGCAGTATATTTACATGGATGTCCAAGACAAGAACATGTACATATGGTAAGACTTCGGCTTTTAAGCATTAACTGATCTTCATTCTGTCAGGTTTTTCGAAATCTAGGTTACAATACAACAAAGATCATGAAGCCTATTCAAATAAATTATTTCTTCATGTGTAATGCTATTAAATGACGAATGCTTAGTGGACAGTTTTATAACCTTTTGATCGCAAGACCAGGTACCAAAACCACAAATGCTAAGCTTCATCTAGACCATCAAGATGCTTTTTTACATAACGGATGCCACTAGAGGAGCAGGATTTGCTAATCCTTCTAGAGCTCATAAGAACACCCCAGTTTTTGTTGAGGTTCATTCTGCTCAGTCTTTATATCTTTTATGTAGTTTTTGTAGAATTATTTGTCTTTATGTTGTTGTTTGTTTTTTGCCATGGTGTTGTCAGACCTTCTTCGACTGACTTGTGAGTTTTGAATGTCTCCTTGGTATCTTTTGTTCCACTTTTTTGTTTAAAGTTATTTGACCAATGCTACGGACGATCAAACATTAATAAGTGTTATATTCATTGTTAAGTTTAGATTTAAGTAAATAGATTTAAGAGACAATAATAGTTGACCAGTGTTATTAATTCGTAAATCCCTTTAGTATATGGTTAATTAGTATTTGCAAACAATGAGAAACAACTGATGGAATCCCGTGAACTCCAAATGAAGTGAGAGCAAGTACATCTGTCACGAAATACATCACCTGCCATGCACAATCAAACTATTTAGAAATAACACAATCAGGAATAAGATACACTTGGTAAATTGCAATTGTTATGTAACGAGAAGAGCGAAAACCAAATAAACATTAAAGTGAATGATGAAAAGAGCTATTTACAAGAAATACAAACATATAAATATTGGGATTGTGTTTGAGTTGAGCTTCTACTTCTAATAAAAGAATCGAGGCATTTCGCAAATTGAAGGAGGTATTATAACCGATGAAATTATAAGAATGAAATTATTCAGATAAACAGAATATTCGATGAAAAAAATTAAAATTCAATTTAATAAAGATGTTAAAAAAAATACTTGGTCAATTTCAAAAAGTGTTCGAAATAAAATTCGAATATTTAATGCAAATCAAGATTATCAAAACGCTTTATTAAGTGCAAGATCTTAAAAACCCAAATTGATTGGACCACTAAAGGTGTTATAGCCTTTAACGGCGATGTTTTTTCTTTTTATTGTGTCAGTCGTCTTCCTTTCAAAATTCTTCTCTGCTGAAACTACTTATTCTATTTCAATTAGACTTGGGAAGTGCATATGGCTAAAATAGAACATAAAGGTAAAATGCATTCATTTTCATGTTAGATAAAGAAAATCTGATCGGGTAAAAATACTCAGAATGTAAAGATCCGCCTGCACTTAAAACAAAACAAGTGAAAAAACCACTGGATGACTCCTTATGGATTTTATGTCCTTAAAGACGATTTTTAATGCCACTCATCTCAAGAACAATAAAATAAGTAACAAGAGTGCATACGCGTAAATGTCTTTATAAATAAGAAGATGTGGTATGATTGCCAATGATATAACTATTCATCCAAGTCAGAATGTGTAAAAAGTTAACAATTAAATCCAATTTTTATGAAAGAACTACACATTAATCTTCTTTTAAGTTAATTTTTAACGAGTAGCACGTGGCAAAAGATCACTCGACCAGAAATTTAATGTAATAGAAATTAACATAACAAAAGAACGGAGTGAAGTGCTATAAAATTGAAACTGCCTAATAAATACAGGTAGCTCTTTTGAGGGAAAAAAACCCGATAGAATGAATACTTTATTCAAATGATTATATTTGGTGTGATATTAAAAATATATAGATAGATTATACTACATGTTATTTGTACAAAGATAGATGATATTTATAAAGATAGATGTTAATTATTAATAATGTGTCTTATTTGCTTTTTCCCCGACAAATGAGCTTGTAAAAATCGGGGCCCCCATTGTTGCTTCCCTGGGCAACTTAGGGTTGATGTAACAGGTGATTATTAATAAAATATGTTTAAAATTTAAAATTTAAAAAAAAAAACAATTCAAACAGGAAAACCAACGGTCTAACCTATATATAAAAAGAAAAAAGATAAACACTTATGAATCACACCAACAAACGACAACCACTGAACAACAGGCTCCTGACTTAGGACCGGTGCATGAAAATGCTAGCCTGCTTTACTGACTAAAGATAAAAGTTTTACTACAAGAATCACGTAGACTTAACAATTTTAATGATCCATGACTATGAGGTCAAGGTCAGATAAATCCTGTCAGACAGACGTTTACACCTTGCAATTATTTCATACACCAAATATAGTTGACCTATTGCTTAAGGTAATTAAAAAAAAGATCAAACACAATACTTAAATTGACCAATGAACCTTAAAAATAAGGTCAAGGCCAGATGACATCTGACAGACAGACCTGTACACCTAAACGTTATTCTATACACCAAATATATTTGACCTACTGCTTATAGTACTTAAAAAACAGACCAAAACACAAAAACTTAACACTGACCAAAGAACCATGAAAACGGACCTAATCACCCAATTTAAATCTTGATCACTGATCCATGAAATGCGGTCGAAGTCAGATGAACCCTGTTTGACGGAAAAGTAAACGTTGCAAGGAACCCCATATACCAAATATAGTTATCCTGTTACTCTTAATAAGTGAGAAATTCACATTTTTTTTTTCAAGTAAAGGCTAAATCATGAAAATTAGGTCAAAGACAATGGACATATGACGAAGGAAACTTCGAAACATAAGGTATCTGCATACAGTGTATGAAGCATCCAGGTCTTTAACCTTCTTAAATATAAAATTGTAAACAAATAATGTACACCGCCGTAATTCCTATGTCTAGAATATTGCGACTTTCGTCATTGGCGAGAAATAAATTGAATACAGCAAAAATGTTCACAAACACAGGATCTACAAAAAACCAATATGATCAAAGCCATTGGATAAGTCCTTTTAGGAATTGTTGCCATTAAAAATATTTTTTTGACTAATTTTTATAATTTTGCAAATTTTCTTGAGAACTATTAAAGTTGGTAGAATATGTAAGCAGCAAAAGTGATCAGCTATAGAAGAGCTAAAAAAAAATCTAAATGACTGAAACAATTGGATTACTGACTCCATAAGGAGTTTTTGTCCTAAAATGACGATTTGTGACTAATTCTAATTCTTTTCTTTTAAAGATTATCTCGAAAATTATAAAAAAAAAGATGAGTACAAATATAATCAACAGTACATGATCTACGTGAATAACATTACTGATAGCAACACAGATCAAAAAAAATATCAAAATGCATATCTTTACCAGATGACCGATTCAGACTCTAATAAGCCTCTTGTTATTTTTTAAAATGTCAAACGTTTATTCATCGTGTTTTGAAATAATACATCCAATGCGATAAGTAATCCCCCAAAAATACAAACAATCAATAAAGGCAACAGTAGTATACTGCTGTTCAATAGTCATAATTCGATTAAGCAAAAATAAACCCGAGAAACAAACTAAAACCGAGGGAAACACATCAACTATTAGGGGAAAACAACAGAGCAACAGAAACACTGGACTACAACAAAAGCAAACGCCAACATACATAGAAACGAACTGTAGATAACAACTACCTGGTTTTATGGCTAGCCAAAACTCCCGCTTATATGGCAATGTTAAAAATACCGCTAAAATGACAACACTACGTGACAGGAATACAGTACAAACAAATGCAAGAACACTCAGCACAGAGAAATACATAAATAAATAATATAACAGTTCATTACAACATGTAAACCACAGAATAACAACGGTCACCTCCCACGAATTTACGACAGCACACCAGGACACCACAAACGAAATAAACTGCGCGTGACATGAATGGATCAATGTCACAAAAAGTGACGTATTTTTTGTGACGTTTATATTATCACAGGTAAATTTTTAAAAATAAATAGATTTGTTATTTCATACACACGTAAAAGAATAATAAATTGGGATTAAGTTGGTAATGGTGTTATTTTATGTAAAAGCTTAAAATCATATAAATGAAGTAACTGATTTGTGTTTACAATAATCAAGCTTTATCATTAATCAAGATATACTACAATTTTGTTTTCGGGTATTGACACGAGTTTTCGATAACATGGTTCAAGATTAGAAAGTTTAGAATTATAAATATCAAAAGAATAAAACTTATGTTATGTTTAAAAGCTTTAACTTTTATCAGTATTTAACATCTTTGATTTTTTAAATATTTGTCTTTTATTTCTCTTACCTTTTGTAAACAAAAGTACAAGACCTTATATATTTTGCTTTATAAATATACTACATTATTTATATATTTAAATTTTAATTATGAATCTTTTTAGTCTTACAAATGTTGAACGGTATATTCATAGCGTTCGCCATAATACCTTAAATGATATAATGATCACTGTAACCTCACATAATTATAAACTAACAAAATAAAGGGGGGGGGACATATTATACATACTCGTTCTCGAGTGGAAACTTGCTCCGACTATAGATAGCAAAAAATGCACCGCTTTCGGAAAACGATAGTTTACATATTGACGAAAACTCGAGAAAAGTTCGATTCCTTGAAATGCTAGTAGTACTTGTAGGGTTGTTGAATAACAGGTTAACAATCGACTGACTTCAGAAAATAAATTTATTAGAAGTAATAACCTCAGTAAAGAGTAATATGTAGTTGTTTCAGCTCACTAATAGTATGATCTACTTAATAACAAAAACGTAATTTTATTAATTTGGGGTGTTCAAATAGTAATTTAAATTAGAGACACAATGACTAAGTGTTAAATGAAATGATATTTATCGCCTTGTTTCCATTGTGCTTCCTTATTAGAGTACGTAACCCTTTACATATTATTTTATCTCTTTAAACATGTTAGATATAAAATTTTCATACAATGAAGTCTTATTAATTTATGCAGAGCTTTGAAGGATTCAAGAGAAGTATCGTATTGCAGCTTTTTTCTGAAAATCGTTGTTTGCTTTATATACTTTAAACTAGACGATTTAAATTTATTACTGTTTAAAGACTCACTTTGAAATGAATTAGATATTGTATGCATTTAACTGGATTGATTGATAACTACATTTATACTGATTCGCATGTTTGATATTAACCACTATTAACGACCGCTAATGATACAGACTGTATCTTATTAACAGATTGTTACTGTTTTATAATGTATAAATGAAACAAAAACAGTGTCTGCCATTACCGATAATAAGCTATTTTTCAGAATACCAGAATCTAGCTGAATGAATTATTGTATTTGTTGTGAAGGTTAATGTTATTATACAAAAGTTTCCTTTTGTAAAAAAAGTACAAGACCTTATATATTTCGCTTTATAAATATACTTCATCATTTATATAGTTGAATTTTAATAATGAATCTGTTTAGTCTTACACATGTTGAACGTTATATTCATAGAGTTCACCATAATACCCTATATGATATAATGATTACTGTAACCTCACATATTGAAGGGGGAAAACACATTATACAACTTAGGTTTCGTGTATTGACACGAATTATCGCTAATGAATTTTTAGAACACAAGTTTTCGAATATTGAACGACAATACTCGTACTCGAGTGGAAACTTGCTCCGACTATAGATAGCAAACAATGCACCGCTTTCGGAAAACGATAGTTTACATATTGACGAAAACTCGAGAAAAGTTCGATTCCTTGAAATGCTAGTAGTACTTGTAGGGTTGATGAATAACTGGTTAACAATCGTCTGACTTCAGTAAATGAATTTATTTGAAGTAATAACCTCAGTAAAGAGTAGTTGTTTTAGCTCACTAATAGTATGATCTAATTAATAACAAAAACATAATTTTTTCGTTTGGGGTGTTCAAATAGTAATCTAAATAAGAGACACAATGACTAAGTGTTAGATAAATTGATAGTTATCGCCTTGTTTCCATTGTGTTTCCTTAGTAGAGTATGTAACACTTTACATATTATTCTATATCTTTAAAAATGTTAGATATAAAATTTTCATACAATGAAGTCTAATTAATTATGCAGAGCTTTGAAGGGTTCAAAGAGAAGTATCGTATTACAGCTATTTTCTGCAAATCGTTATTAGCTTTATATACTTTAAACTAGACGTTTTAAATTTATTACTGTTTAAGGACTCACTTCGAAATGGGTAAGATATTTCATGCATTTAACTGGATTGATTGATAACTACATTTATACTGATTCGCACGTTTAACATTAACCCCTATTAACGACCACTGACGCTACAGACTGCATCTAATTAACAGATTGTTACTAATTTTAAAATGTATAAATGATCCAAAACAATGTCTGCCATTACCGATAATATGCTATTTTTTCAGAATACCAGAATCCAGCTGAATTGATTACTGTTTTTGTTGTGAAGGTCAATGTAATTCTACAAAAGTTACTTATTAAAAGGACATTTTTGTGATATATAGACTGCCTAAGGGACAGTAGTATTCACAAAATTATTTACAATGTCCGAGACGAAGTCGAGGGCACTATCAATTTTTCAGTCAATACTGCTGACCCAATTTTCATAAAAAGACTTAAAAGTAGACACTAAAAAAATATATGGTTATCCAGTATCGAGACTGATTGTCTAAGATTCTTAGATTGTTTGATTTTGTTTTGAACAACTTCATCAGTTACGAAAATTCGTTTGATGTGTTTGAGCTTTTGATTTTGCCGTTTGATTAGTGACTTTCCTTTTTGAATTTTCCTCGGAGTTCAGTATTTTTGTGATTTTACTTTTTGAGAATATGCAGGATTTAACATCAGTTTTTTTTTCTTATGCCATTTTAGACTCCTTTTTCTAGGTGACTTGTAAGTCCTGGTATCTATAATGAGTTTATTTTTGTTAAAATATTTTAACATGGAATATAGAGAAAAGGAGAAATAGTGAGGCATTTCGTAATCTGTTTGTTCAGACTGGATACAATAATATATAATTGAAATTCCTCAAACTACCCACCCCTCACTCGGAAAAGCAATTAAGACAGTCATGATTATCTATGACTTGTTGGTTTTCTCATTATTGTTAGATATAATCTAACCATGCTTACAGTGACATAAGCTTTGACTTCAACAGTATAATAAATTGTAAATAAATAAGTTAAAAATGAGGTATATTGTTTTGTTTGTTTAACAAAAACGGATTATTGAATACGAATTCGTTATTTGCAATCGTTTTAGTTCAATATCGTCAAAATAACCTAACAACTTGGCTGATACATTTTTTTTAATGAAAGACACACCATTTTGATCCAGGTGTATGCAACCTATAATGTTGCCTCATTTCGGATGATAGCACATGTGCTCAAAATATTCAGAAATCTGAAATAGAATATCTGCTGAAAAGGATAAATAAAGGAATCAAACAGAAACCGAATTCGCTGACTGATTCAGCCTCTTAAAAAATATATTATCCACCATTGCACATGATATCTATATTTATCTGTTAAATATGTATATATATTTTCAGTCTAGGTGACCGAGTGTTCTAGAACGCTTGACACATTGCAGGCGGTGTTGTCTCGATATCTCAATAGCATGAGTTCGAATCCCGGCGAGGGAAGAACAAAAATTTGCTTCCGCAAATTTGCAGATTTAACATTGTTGTGCTGATATTTAGAGTGATTATGTATAGCCACCAAAAGCTTGATTTTGTCGAGCCTAGGTGGTCGAGTGGTCTAGCCCGCCGGGCATAGTGCAAGGCCATTTGGTGCCACGAAAGTAGCATGAGTTTGAATCCCGGCCAGGGAAGAACAAAAATTTTGCTTCAGCAAATTTACAGATCTAACATTGTTGGGCTGTTATTTAGACGAATTATATATACAGAATGTGTTTTCAGCCTTGTATCACCATCACTGGTGATCCGATGGATAAAATTTTCGTAGAGTTGTCAATGGTTCAGACGTACTTATATATATATATATATATATATATTCATATTCATATGGGGAGCACATGGCCATCGGCAATCTTCGGATGTCATGTCAATAGTTGATAAGATGGTTTTGAGTAAAAAGATGTTGATTAGATGCATTGTTCATGTTTCCAATAAAACATTGAAATTGTGATATGCGTTTTTGTCTGTTGTAAGTCGAATTTGAGAGTGTTGGGCTTTGCAGTAGATATGATATGATATTTGCAGCTTATGCCCTTTATGATCAGTTATTATAATGAAGTAAACGAATACAAATAAGTGTGTATTATAAATATATTATTACACGCATTTCATGTAATGCATACCAGAAAAAAATAACTGCAGTTTCAAAGTGTTTCTATTTTTCATTTTTTCAGGTACAGGTACTTCTAAAACAAAACTCAAGGATGAATTTTGTGAGACAAAAAAAAGAATACACTACAACATGGTAACTGAACAATCGACGACAGGTCGTGATAATCATACCGAGAAACTATCTACTCCTGTTAGAAATCAGACGCCAAGTAAGCTTTTAGAAATGGATTGATCATTTTCGTCATTTTTGTGTTTTGATTTAATCAGATACACGTGTATATCAAAACTTTTTAATTTAATTTATTCAAAGGTCGAATATATGTGTTTTTCTCAGAATTTTGCGTCAGTTCGTCGTTAGTCGTTGTTTTCTTTTCTCTTTTTCGAACTTTTATTCTGTGATCACATACATGACATATGGAAATTTTGTAACACATATCCTATTGGATACATCTTAGGGAAATGTATTTAGATTAGTTGGTGTCTTTTTCGGCATCTGAAAAAAATATATAGGATTCACAAGGAGAAATTTCTTAATTCAGTTGCAAAATAGTTTGATATACCGTGGTAAATTCATTTGAATATTAAATAAAATTGCAAAGTTTTTTTCAAATCAGCACCTGACTAATTGTTTCCAGTCAGTTCATTTACTCCATAACATTTCTTCCCCGAGAGTATCATCAATCTAGTAGCCAGCAGATTATATCAGATTAAAGCTTCAAACTCTAATAACGCGAGCTCTACTGACCAAACTTAAATAGTAATAAACAATCCATTGAAGAAAAATAAAAACGACGACAAGACAAACAACAGTCAATAAAACACAACATAGAAGGCCTATAACTGAGAATCAATTATGTTGGTTGAAACGTTTGTGCAAAGTCATACGAAGCACTGATAAAAAGGTACTACTGTACAATGACAATTATGATAAATTCTTTATTTTCAGAAATAAGCACAGTTAACAAAACAGTTAATCCTCCAAGTGGTCTTCTACAGCTACATATAAACTAACACATGTTTTAAAGGCAATGATACATATACAATAGCTTTACTGTAAAAGATAGGGAAACATTACACTGAATACAAGAGCACATATATAGTACAAATAGACAAATAGCATTGAGTCAGATAAAAAGTACATTTATGTGTATAATAATATCTTGACATTATATGTGACTACGAAAAGATCTCATCCTGCATTTTAAAATGATAAATTTAAAGCAGTTAGTTCCAAAACTAAGTTTCATTATACATAAAGGTTCTCTCACCATAATATCGTCTCGTCAAATAAATATATAATTTGGGGAAGATGATCGTGTATAGTTATTACAATTGAACAACTTGAAAATAGGTGCTAGATTATATTTATACTTTTAAATAATATCACAGCCTTGAAATATTTAGTTCTGTTGTATTTTTATTTATTCTATAAATTGAGTGAGCGGAAACCGCATGCAACTACTAACTTTACATTAAACAGGGGTTGAGATTATACACCTAATTGCATTTTGTTTGCCATTACAAGATATTATACACGTTCCCGTAAATTATTGACGTAACAAAAGAAATTGTCTGACGCCACAATGCAAAAGTTTCGTCAATAGTTCAAGTGTCGCAAAAACAAACTCGGATCAGGTGCCGCAGATTCAAAAATAGCGATAAAGTCTAATGATTTTACACCATAAAAAAAATTAAATCTATAAGAATTTAATTCTATGTTTTAAGTCAATTGTCTGTTATCACCATTACTTAAAATGTTTTTAATATTTTACTGTTTTAATTTAGAATATAATTTGATTTCAGCAGTTTATTTCAACAATGTCCGATGGTAGTCAACGTAACACATTCTGTACTCGTGAGAATATTTTCATTCATATTACACGATGTTAATCTCGTGGAAAACTTTCTAGTTGTTCATGCTTCTCAAATTCTAGTTAAAGAGAATAAATCGTAATTACTTGAGAAAACATTATGAGAGCAAATTTCCTCCCGGTTCACTCCGGCATAAATGTTGTTAAACAGTAGGATATTCAAAAATTTCTTCCAGATGTATAGTAGTGAAACAGAATCATACACACTTTGAATATGCAAATTCTTTTATGGACAGTTTATTATAAGACATGCTTGTTTCTTATATATTGCATGCATTATTAAGTTAATCTCTTTTCTAATGTCCTACTGTCACAATTTATTTGCAGAAATTCAAACAGCAGATGACGAAAAAGAAAGCAAACATAAAAAACAACGCAGAAAAAAGAACAAAAATGTTCTGAACGCCATAGCACAGAAACCAAGTGGAACGGATATATACAACTTCGAAAGTGTCAGTGCAAACGAAATTTTGAAATTTGTCGTCACCAACTTTGAAAATGGCTGCACATTTGAAGATTTCTTATTACATTGTGACCTTTTCCCTTCTTCTGTAGAAATTCCACGGTGGTTAGAAAAGCATACGATGCAATTTCATATTTTCAAAAATAATGAAAAGATAGAATACATATTACCATATGTAAAGACCGCTGGCGTTTGTTCTCCTTATAATAATCGACAATACCCTGGACAATGTAATTATGTCAATTGTCGCTTCTTACACGTTTGTCGTCGGTTTGTCAGACACGTATATTGCAATTTCAAAGGTTGCAGGCTAGCTCATGATTTTACAAATCAGCACAATAGTCGACTCATAGTACGATTTGGATTAGAGAATTTCAGCGAAAACCAAATTAAAATGGTCCTTAATAACCATTTCCCATCCATTTGTAAGGACTATAATTTTCATGAAAGATGCAAAGTTGGTACAAAGAAATGTGTCAATTTGCATTTATGTGGTTCATATAAATTCGGAAAATGTGAAGAACCATGCAAGTACAAACGAACTCATAAACTCAATAAAGATCATAACAAATGGGTTCTCAGAGCATTTGAGATGACGAGCTGGCCAGAAGAAAAAATCTTGAAAAGCATCTACGTTCCACCTAAAAGAGCCCCCAGTTATTCAAATACTGATGAACGTGACTTTGACCATAACAAAAACATTGACCTGGATGAAAATTATGTTCCACCCAAGGCCGGTAGTAGTGATAGTAACTCGGATGCAGACGAGTCGTAAAAGCTTATTATTTGAAGATGATATTGTGAAGTGTTCTGTGTATTTGTTGCAGATATAAAACAAATGTTTGACAAGTGCTTTTATTCATTTCAACTCATCATTATTCTTTCTCAGACATAGTATGAATAGGATATTATATTACAGTTGAATACATTTCAGCTATGAAGATGAACCATAATAAACATCAAAATCAAGAGTTCGCAACAGTTTTCGAAGAGCAGTAGCATTTATGTTAAGATTGCGCACAAGAGACTCAACATTTAAATGATTACAAAAACCGTAGGAAAAAATGAAGAGCCACGAATCAGCATTAGATGCAAAAATAAATGTACAAGAATGGCAAAACCGTCTAATGAAAGATTGCTTGAGGGAGAACAAACCTTAAATTGAATACATTTTGCATAAATTTTAAACTAATTTTAAAAAAAGAAATAGACAGTTACAATCATATCAGTAAAGTTGACTTGGAAAACTTATCCTAGTATTATGAGATCTAAGCATTCACTAATAAGACGAAATGTTTTGTACCTCTGTCTGATAATTATACATTGTTTTCTGTTTTCCTGGCGGCTACAGCCCGAACTTGATAAAATAATATTCTTGAGTTCACCTGACAAGCATTTTGGAATAAGTTTTTTAAAGGAGATATAGGGAATGAAACTACAACCCTAACTTTAGTAAACGTCTATAATCAACATACGAATGTATATTGTATTTATATTGTGACTCCCTGCTATTTAAGAATAACCTTGATCTCTGTTTCTTCTATTTGGTCATATGTGAAAAAAAAATGTATACAGTCTTCTCTCGCAGGCAAAGCCTTAGATAGATTCGGCTATTATTTTATGCCCTTTTTGGTCATATAGCTCTTCAGTTGTTGTGGTGCTTATACATCATTGGCATTCAAATATTCGGCTTTGAGTGTTCCTGATGAAGGTAAATCCAAAAAGCGATTAGGACTTATATAATTTATGACTAATGAATGTTGTGCACAAAAAATTCTTGGTTTATATATTTGATGTTTTTAATGTGTCAGTAATGAAATAGATTCGTAAAGACCAGACCATATGAAAACAGAAAGTAAATTTGTTCCAACAGTTAGATATTCAAACAGTTAATTACACAACTTCTAATCGAATGGACCTAGATGGTTATATCATTTTCCTACACTACGTGACTGGCAAATGCAAATATTTAAAGTTGTCTGTTCAATTCAATAAATTAATAAATCTTGTTTTGTTTGTTTTTTTTCTAAAAAAAAAATATATGCCTGTAAACATCAATGGTTAAAATCGTATTGAAACAGTTTAAATGTAACATATTCAGAATTAAGTTACGTAGGCTTGAGTGGTTGGCTCAAAACGTATATAGATGAGAAATTTTGACAAGGTTGATCAGCATTCTTAAATTGAAATGCAATGTACTACATGAAATCAATCACTCTTATTTTAGTCACCCGTCATTTCCTTTACTCGTCTTAATTAAGTATAACCCCTTGAAAAATACCTTTTCGTTTCTTAGTTTTATATCTGTCTGACATAATCATATATAATATACTGTAATAATACAGTAGATAAGAACCCCATAGCAAAAAAAGGATGAAGAAAAAGATTTCGTGGGAGCGTGATCGCCTTGAGTGTAGGGGTTCGTTTGTTCGAACAAAGAAATTAAAATTGGTATTTACTGTTTCAACGCTAAGCACGCGGCATTAAGGAACAATAGAAAAGACACATCGACTGGGAGTAAGCAATATGTCCGGGTAGGGTGACTTTTGTTCCTGCGAACTATTATCTTTTTAACTAACAGGTTTACATTCCGGCTCAATGTGTCGGTCTAGTACAAAGCAGGGTTCATATTCATACTATAGTTATATATTCTCGTCCTGAATATGCATTTAATTTGCCGCTGAACGTTAAAAAGCTATCCATTTTCATCATTTATTTTACCGTTACTATATAGTGAAGTGTTTTTCTTGTCTGTTTTTAGTACACCTTCTTTGATTTCCGCTGATCGAGATTCAAAAAGTGAAGGTGATATTTTTCAACCACACAAAATTTTTTTTGTTCCTGTTGGGATACCTTTGACGATATTAAGTTAACTCCTTACTTTTTAGTAATTGGCTGTCTTGAGCTTGAAATTCTGCATATGCATCTTTCTATTACTGTATGTTGCCTCTTAATGTTTTGAATTTTCTTTGTCGTTGGGTTGCTGTTTCATTAATGTATACCCTTATCTCCTTTTATTCAAAACCAAAGCATTGACTTGGGTATAGAAATATTGACATCTCTGGACTTCTTTCGTCCGACAGTAAACCCTTACTAAAGGGGTGCGTCCGTTTGGCTGTGCGGATGTATACATACGCAGCTACGTGTGGTCGAAATGGAGATGTCCGATGCCTCGAGTTGTGAGGGTTTCACGCTATCTACACGTTCAAGAACCATTTGAATATTTCTTGCAGGGGGAAATAAGATCTACCCACAAGTAAAGTGATTGAAATCTTTTAACAACAACAAATGTCAGCTAAATCTTAAAATAAGTCACTTAGCTGATTTTTTACACATTTTCCGCCGTTTGCAAAGACAATTGTGTATGAAGGAAACTTTAAATAACAAAAAATGGCCAGTAAGACAATATCTACAAATAAATAAAACCGCCAACATAAGTTGAATCCTTATATAAATTGTACCCATTAAGAACACTTTTTTGTACATTTTTTTCTTTTATTAAAACTATACCAGATAAAGAAAAACTTAAAACAGCAAATTTTGTCACCTATATAGACAAGATTGCCATCGTTGTTCGCTTCGCTATATGACTTATTGTCCCGCAATGAAGATTTGTCGGTTCTACTCCCCTCCCCTAGTTTGCCTAGATTGGATACGATGTAACCCCTGATGTGGACTACGTTACTCAATATATGAATACAAAAGTAAACAGTTATGCTAAAATTACGTTTATTGTAGATCTTCTTGCTATTGAGGAAAACAATCTAACATAATATCATAAAAATTTCTTACACTGTTTAATTATTATTCCATTTTGGATCTTCAAACACTATATTATCAATCAATCCCATTGTGTGTCTTCCTTTTACCCTTCGACATTCCTTTTTGAGAATTGATTAAATTGAAATTCAGACATAAAATAAATCGTTTTATTAAGTGGTAGGTAATATTCAGCTGAATGTTTAGTTACCATCATTAACCTTTAATTTCCGATAAGAACGAATCAATTGTTTTGCATGATTTTAATTCACAATAAAAGATTCATCTTATTGTCATGTGTAGGGTCCTTATATAGAAGTCGACATCTTTAAACCTATCCGTGTAAATGCAAATTAAAACATTGCATATTTACTGTAACAATCGCTTTGAAAATCAAATAAAAATCATATCTAAAAATTGGAAAACTGTTTGAGACAATTATCCACTGAAGACTAATGATTATTTAACACTAAACAAAGCGGATGAATTGATTGCTCCCTTAACGTCCAGTTGCAAATGTGTCATGCATATTCATGACGAGATGCAAAGGGGGTCGACCTGAAACAAATGTTAACAAGTTTAAAGTGATTGAGCGTTGGATAGAGGCAAAACGCATGTCGTACTAGAATAAAGTTGAACCATGGTCAAAATCATTATTTAAGCTATTAACACCACTTTTTCCCTCGATAAACAAATGCCAAAAAAAAAGAATTTACAGGCAAAAACGACCACCATAAGTAAATCAGATATGCACTTATTTTGTAAATATATTCCTGTTGCAGTCAACGGTTCAGTTTTGACTAAATGTCTTTTAATAACTGTAGCTGAGCCCTCAACCTAATGCACATGAAAATAAAAAATATGCCTTATGTCATATAAAAGAAAAACATCGTTATTATTTATACATTTTTTATTTAAAGCTGATATGTTTTTGTTATTTTTTGCAAATTTGTATTTGGTACAGCTAAATGTTCAATTGTGCAACTAAGTAGCATTATTATATTTGCGCAAAAGAGTATGCGCATAAGCTTTTTCTGGATGGTGTTGGTTTCACTTGTAAACAATGAACTGGAAAAAGTGTAAATTGCAGAATTTTTTGTACGTATGTTTTTTCTACGTATGACATTTTCTTGCTAATCATTTTTTTTTACTCAAATTATAATCAGGGCTTTACTGATGAGACTCTTGTGGACAAAACGCACGTCGAGTGAACAAAATTACCAGCCTTACCAGCCTGGTATCTTTGGTGATTTATTTTAAACAACATTTATTACTATTTTCTTTCCGAATATATCTGTATTAAATTATTTGGTTGTGGATACCATCTCCATTACATCATTTACTATTTATATTGTAAAAGATCATAGATTAACTCAACCAGTGTGACAACAGTAAACTATGATACTTTGTTATACAAATAATGTCTAAAATCAAATTACATTTAATTTATCAAAGCACAAAGACTTTAATTTCTATTTGCTTCTCATTTTTCTTCTTTGTTTTATTTTGTTTTTGATTAAATATCTACTTGGTTTGTTTGTTGTTTTTTTTTTTTTTTTTTTTTTAATTAGTAAGCAGATGTTTGATTCGAATAGCCGATCTATTTATATTCACGTGTAATTTTACTGTGACTACTCCTTATTATTGCATAAAATGATATAAAAACTGCAATGCTTGCATCCATCTTTATGCTACATTTAATATATTTGGTATAATTACATTAATGACGAATAATCTAAGTAATTTAGATTTTGAGGACATACACTGTATTAAGTATTTTGGTTAAACATAAGATGTTTTTTTTCATTAATCAATTAACTATCACCATTGGTTTTCAACAATGCATGTCTACGAACTAATCACAAACCAACACGTATCTTATCCAGCGCATTGTTAGCGTACTATTTAGTGATAAGCAAATTTCAGATAGACAAGTTTACTGTTTATAGGCATCATCTCTTTGTGGATTTTTTTTTCACAATTCGTTTTTTCTAGAATTAACTTTGAGGGACTTGAACATCCATTGTTACCAATGGTGCATATACTTGTCAAATGAATCAATTATGGCATTATGTTATTATCATGTCAGATCTCGTCATTCCCAGTAAACTGTAGCCGCAATTTCCCAATTTACTTTTTTTGTTTGTTTTGCTTTGCAACAACTGTTTTCTATGATTAAAATATTGATTCAATACACTTTTATTCAAATGCAATCGATATGTAAACAGAGCCTAAATGATTTCACAGAAATTTCGCATTTCAATTTCTGAAAAATCGATGTCAAATAAGCTACCTTTAAATAGATGCTATAAAGGTAAAAACGACGATCATATCTAAGGAAAATACATTAACATTACCTGCATTATTTCACAATACGACTAGTTGTATAACCGGGGGTTAAATAAGGAAATTCCTATTCATTTTCAACATTGTATGCATATTTCTTCTTGGATTGCCGGAATAGGGATAATAACGTCAAAATGGGTAAGATATTATTATAATTACACTGAAAAAGAAAGGCTGTAATTTATAATAAAGACCTTATTTGCTGTTTTTTTTTTTTTTTTTTTTTTTTTTCATTTAATAATAAAAATTGTTAAGTAAACAAAAACTTTGTTGCTGTTTTCCACACTACATAAATGAATATGCCATTGCCGGTCATTACAGAGTAAGGTTTGAAGCAACGCCTTAAACATTAATGCGCTTGAAAAAACTAATAAAAAAATTGTTAAGAGCACGACTATTTGATATTCTGGTAGGGGGAAGGAGGATTTTCCTTGATTAAACATTTATATTCAATTGTTGCAACGCATGCTTATTTTTTGCCCCAAAAAAGATAGTTTTCATTTGTGTACACATTTGTTTCCTGCATTTTGTGTCGCAGACTATTCATTTTTATCCTGTCTTCTACACGATTTTTATAGTTCTAACCAGTCATTACATATCATTTTATAAGTTCTCCTGCCAGCCTTCCAACAAAAAATCAAATGGTTGTCCCTTAAACAAGTTTGTGTAGTTTATGCACTTTTTCAATTTAACAAATTGGGAATGGAGAACCTGATGTTTCAACTGCATTCATTGAGTTTTCTCTTCGATTTATTGGCATATTAATTATTAACTATTATTTTATAACATCTGAATGTTCCGTTTGCAAATTTTTACCAAAGTCGCTTTCCTTGAATTTCCTTGTATGTTTTTTTTTTTTTCCTATTACAGTGTCATATGATTTCCCTATATTCATTTATATTCAATGCTCAGAATGTCTTTAATAATTCTTCTATATAGATCCTAAAGATACCATTTCTTCTACCTCGTGATATTTCTTTTTATCCGATTGCACATCCTAGCGTATATGCTATGTCATATGTCGCTTTTAACTGAATGCGGATATTCGAATTTTAAAACATGTTAATGAATATTTATTCTTTATTACCTTGAACTTTACAGTTCATCGGTGTCAATACAAATGTTCAAAGTACACAAGTAAACAGACAGAGAATGTTCATGTAATATTGTCTCTGATTTGAAATGCAGTAAAAATGTATTTTCCTAAATTGGTTAACTGTTTGATGTTCTTTAAACTTAAAAGTTCAATAACTTTAAACACACTTGGTCTAGACCAGTAATATTTCTTAATGAATTTTACTCTAAGTTCCTTATATTTCGGACTCACTAAGATGAAATGGAATTCGTCTTCAATACACTGAGGGCAAATTGTACATATACGACGTGACAACTCAATACTTCGGTAGCGTCCAGTTTCAACTGCTAATGAATGCGAAGAAAGTTTTATTTTTAAAAGAGCTCTTCGGTACACAACAGGAATATATTTTGTCAAATAAAATTGTAAATCAAAACTGTTTATAATTTATTTATAGATACGGCACTTGCTACTGCTATCAAGTAACGAATACATCTCCTGTTTTTTAATATCTAAAAGTCATTGTTTAATTAGAGGGAAATCAATCTCAAATACGAGGTCTGATTATTTAATCCACATATCTCCAAGTCCAATGTTGTGTAGTTCATCTCTGATTAACGTTGCCCAATTTACAAATTTTGAACGTTTTCGATCAATATCGATACACATTTTTTTATATACGGAGCTTAAAATACAGTTATTTGTTGACAGAATTTTGAACCAATATTTAAAAATTTGAATTTTCCTTTTAACGATCATTGGCAGTCTTCCTAGTTCCATATACATCATAGCAGAATTTGTAGACTGTTTAACACCAAGTTGTCTTTTGCAAAATGCAAATGGACTTTTTCGATATCGTCACCTTTATAAAATCCCCAGACTTCGCATGCATAAGAAATTACACTACCTACGTACACATCAAATAGAGACAGGAGAGTTTGAGTATTTAAATGGTAATTCCTTGACGTAGATAACATGGCAAACATTGATTTTCGACCTTGTTCTGCCAACTTCTTCTGTGTAAATAGAAATTTTCCATTGCATTTGTAAATTAATTCCTAAAAGTCATTGACCGTCTCTAAACTCTCATTATTGTAGAACCATCTCTCAAAATCTTTAATTACACCTCCGTTTCGAAAAACAACTACCTTCGTTTTGTCAATGTTAACTGTTAAATCGTTTTTCACGGTATATAGTTTTAATGAATTCAGCATTGACTGCAGAACTTGAACGGTTTCCTAAAATAGCACCATTTCATCCGCATACATTAGAAGAAAAAGACTTAAATCCCGCATCTCAAGCGGAATGCATCCATCGATTAAAAAGGACATTTCACAGTCATTCACATATAAGGAGAAGAATATAAGCGATAAAACCTCGCCTTGTGGTAAACCGATTTGACATTCAAAAAATTCAGAGTACGAACCGTTAAAACGAACACAAGACTTTGTTACTTCGAACATAGAGCGCACAACTGTCAATAACTTTCCACGGATTCCTACACGTGAAAGCTTCATCCATAGTTTTGTACGATTTATACTATCAAACGCTCTCTTGTAGTCCACAAAACAGCAGTATAGTCGTTTCTTGTCAGATAAAGTCCTATTTATAAGAGAATTCAATACAAAAATTGCATCTGCCGTGCCATGACTTTGTCTAAATCCAAATTGTGCGTCGCTGATAATGTCGTTTTCACATGCCCACTTTAGCAGTCTTTGGTTTAAAACAGCTGTACACAATTTGGCTAAATTGCTCAAGAGGCTTATTCCTCTGTAATTATAAGTAAAATTTATGTTCTCTTTATTTTTATAAACCGGTATGACTATTGCTTCGCACCAAGACTTTGGAAAGTGTCCATTCTCGAGAACAGCGTTAAATAACTTTACTATAAATGGAAGCAAAAAGTCGCAAAGTTCGATGAAATATTCGTTAAGCAAGAGGTCTAGACCATGACTTTTACTTCGCTTCAATAAATTAATAACCTTCTCAACTTTATTGTGTGTTATTTCAGCATCTAGTTCATCGAAAACACAACAATTACTTTCTTCAGTTGATTCATTGTCCAAATCTAAATTCATTTCCAATCCAAGATTTTTTAAGCGCTCATAGAAATCGTCTAATTTCAGATTACTTTTAAGTGTTTTCTTTTTTGGCTTAAACTTTGCATAAAATAATTTTCGGTTTGTTTTGCGGATTACACTAAGCATGTCACCTTCTTGTTTCATGTATTGGCGTTTCAGATAACGTTCCTTTAATTTGTATGTTTTCTTGCACTCATTTAATGTTTTATGATTATATGTAGAACTGTTGCTGTTAAACACATTTAATGCCCTGATGTAATTTCGACGTAAAGTTTTCAACTCATCTGAAAACCACGGTTTATCAAAATTCAGCTTTGCGTTTTTGTGTTCAGAATATGTTATTGAAGGTTTGTGTTCATTGTATATTTTCTCGATTCTTACTTTGAGAAGAAGACCAATCATTAATGTTAATTTGACAAAATATGCTAGATCTTAAGAAACGGTCACTTACATTTCTTGTCAGAAGCTATTCAAGACCATAACAAATTGACGACACTACCTACACATGTTTTATTTTTCGAAAAAACATGTTTTTTCATCCATGAAATATTTTCTTGTTAAACATTACCAAGAGACAAAAAAAGGCTAATGCAATTATTGCTTTATAAACTTGATGTGTCAAAAGCGCCTTCAAGCTTCCTATTTTACCGTCACATAGAACACTCAAACATCGAAATGTTAAAGCCAATTATGTATCGATGGCTTAATATTCAAGGATCAAAGTCAAATAATTATAGATTATCGTTGGTCATCTCAACGAGATTGATTTTCTCGATTGAGCCGTACGACGAAAGTGAGAAAAACAATCGAGTTGAGATGACCAATGATAATCTGTTTATCGCCATTTTGCCTATGACGACGTTGAAATTTACATTGACAAAGGCACGTGCGCCCTAAGTTTCTAACGATAATTTTTCATATCACTCTACTGTGCTGAGAAAGGACATTATCAGTCAGTAAGATCAAAGGAAAATTTCGTAAAATAGCGATAATGACTATTATACCAAAAACGAAAAGTCAAAACACAAACAACACAGATGACCAATTATCTAAAGACTGAGCTGACGAATCCCAAAAAAATCTATAATAAACGAGAATGCACTAGAACAGCGAGCAGTTGCTGATATACTAGTAGTACCCATCACATTGCTCAACTACTCTGCGAAAGTTCCACCTCTAATCCGTATGCTGATCTTCACTGGATGTCGGGAGGGAAAACTGTCCCAGAATGGAATCATTCAATGTATGGAAATTACATTGCTCAGTAACACGTTAAAATGAAACAAAAGATACCAAAAGGCTACTCTAACTCATAAATCGAAAAGACATTGACGATGCCATCACAAAAAACAAAGACAACTTAAGGTTAACCAAAAGTACATAAAAAACACAATATAGAAAATTTAAGACTCAACAACACGAAAACCGCCAAATACTGGTGTAAAACTTTGCAATTAGCCGCATTCCTTAAAGAAATATAAACAAGAAAATGGAAGGGTTTGGTTTTAAAAAAAATAAAACGTATCCATGGTCATTTATACTAAAATATTCAGTAACGTCAAAAGACTTATTATGACGTCGATAAAGCATGCTTCCTAAATATTTCAACTATCTATTTTTTAACTTTAAAAACATGATTAAAAATGTCTTTGAATACACGTTACCATTATATATTCCCAGTGTGCTTCACCCTCTAAATAATATTTGATTTTTTTGTATCAATTGTGGACACTAATCTCCTGTCTGAGATGATATAAATAGACCATAGCATTTTGTTTTTTGTCTGTAAGCTATGTTTCTCCGGTAACAGTTCTTCTTCCTAATTTTCTGAGTGTGTGGAATATAGATAAATATGGATTCTGCACAACGTCTTATGGTATACTCTATATTATCATTTCATACAGGAACGTTTTCAACAAAAAAATTAAACGAGTCTATAGCATACAATTTGGCAAGGTTTATGGTAGCTAGAAATAATGCATGGATGCCTGTCTTTTGTTTAAACTGTATGTTGACCTCTAAATCAACGCATCATAGATATCATGATTACATATTTGTACGCCAGACGCGCGTTTTGTCTTCAAAATATTCATCAGTGACTCGAATCCAATAAGTTAAAAAGGCAAAAATGAAGTACGAAGTTCAGGAGCACTGAATAGCCAACAATGCGAAAGGTTTTGCTAATACAGCTAAGGTAATCTATTACTGGTGTTGCAAATCCTTATTATTTCGCAAAATTCAAAGTTTTGTAAACAGTTAATTTATAATTATGACAATATAATGATATTTCAGATCAACACAGAAATACTGACTACTAGGCAAAAGATTCCCTCGAAGGGGAAATTTAACTTTGTTATGTGTGTTGTTGGGGTAATTGATAATTTAGTTTTTGTAGATGATGGTTGTGGTTTCATCTACTGTTATAATACTCACAGAATTATTTTGTACTTTAGAATGTGTCAACACTGAGGTTCGATTTGTGTTGTAATCCTTAAACGATTTCTGTTGTTTACTGTCACTATGGTCACTATGGTCACTAATGAATGTATTTCCCCGATTTTATATGAACAGTTCAGCATGTCGTGTCAGTCGTTTTTTTTTTCTCCCTCTCTTTCACACTATATGTGATCAGTGCACACTATACAGAGGTAATAGCCACTGAATCTTTTTTGTGATTGTTTTTGAGTGATTAATTTATATATTTCTCGCTTTACATTTTTCTATTAATTTTTGAAACGGTAGATGCAACCGTAAATCCACGGCTAATTAAGCATCTTTAACATCATCTATATTTATAAACACTGGAAATATTTTTCAATTTTAGTAGATCAAGAACAAAACAGTACTTGAATTAATTACAAATAACTTAAACACTTTACAGAATTCTTCTAGAGATATACATAATTGGTTTGCAAGTTTGCCTTAGGCCGTAAGTTTTCTTAATTGCATTGTTTCATATTTTGTATGTCGGGCCTTTTATAGCCGACTATACAGTATGGGTTTCTCTCAATGTTGAAGGTCGTACGGTTGCATATAATTACTTGCATCCATTTCATTCGAACTGTGGTGCATTGTTGTCTCATTTGCAATCATACTACATTTCATCATTTTCATACAGTCGGACGCATAACATTTCTAAAATTAATTTTTTTTACAGAAGTATTGTCAGTAGTTATTTTGGAGGGCAGAGTGTACGTCTACCGTCTTTTTGACCTGAAAAAATGAAATCTTGTTTATGAAACCTTAAACAAAAATTTAATCGCTACTCTCGCCAGAAATTGTTCCATTTTGTATAATAACACACCTCTCATTTTGGACCCTTGATCCATCCTTGATTGTAAGGCTATTGTATTTTAATATTGATAAAATATATAGTGATATATATTTTTGACCTCATTATGAAGCTCTATTTGTTTGGATTTGTATGTGTTTCCTAACGATACGTAATCTGTTCCACAAAAGTTAAATTGCTTTAGGGAGTGAAAAGTTGATTTTAATGGGGACGAGAAGGGGATATGTCAATGTGAGGCTGAGCAGAAAAAAAAATATTCTGGCCCTGGTCTGAAAGAAAATAAATAATCTGACCGCCTTTATGTTGGAAATAAATATTCTGACATCATCAAATTTGCCACTGCCCCTCCCCCCCCCCCCCCCTCCCTCAGAATCAAATGGTCATCCCCTAATATCACGCATACAATTTTTTTTTTTGTTCAATACTACAATGCATGATATTCTCCGCAATAATTGCATAAAGAGATGTCTGCGACCCTCTATGTCAAGCCTGTAACATAGCATTCCTAGATACCGACGGGTAAAAAGTGTTTTAACATCAATGCATTTTTTATTTGTCGAAACCTTCATGGAATTTATGAAATTTGGACAAAAGCTTTTTTATGTCCAAAAGACAGTATCCAGAGCAAAAAATTGTTATTTACATTTCTCCGTATCTAACTAAATAAACACAACAGTAGTATGCCGGTGTTCAAAAGTCATAAATCGATTGAGAGAAAACAAATTCGGGTTACAAACTAAAACCGAGGGAAACACATCAACTATAAAAGGAAAACAAAGGAACAACAGGAACAATGAAGTGCAACAAAAACAAACGCCAACATACATAGAAACGAACTATTTGATAACAACTGCCATATTCCTGACTTGGTACAGGACATTTTAAGAAAAAATGGTGCGTTGAACTTGTTTTAATGGCATGCCAAATCTCCCGCTTTATGACAATGTTAACAAAATATATATATATCACTAAAATGACAACACTACGTGAAAGAAATACAGCACAAACACACGCAAGAACATTCATCACAGAGAAACGCACAAACAAATAATATAATAGTCGATACAACATGCAAACCGCAGAACAACAACGAACATATTCCATCAACGACAAACACCACAGGATATCAAAAACAGTGACGCGCTTACGTAACTAACATGAAATCTCGAACTTTATACAATTATTTCACAATACTCATCCAAACAATTTTTATGACAATGATGTTATGGAAAGGCAATTTTATGATTATTTGGACTATAAACGATAAGACATAACAGATAATCCAACCGAAACCATAACAGAAACATCAAACATAAATACATGAATGTTGGATGTACAAAATACCGAGGCACGTCGTATAGCAATGCAACTTCACACTCGGTATAACAGTCATATTCGGGAATATGACAATGATGGTATTGAGGGCAATTTTATAATTATTTTGACAACAAACGATCAGACATAACACATTATTCAACCGAAACCATAACACGTTGTATAACAATGCAAATTTACACTAGGTATAACAGTCATATTCGGGAATATGTCACATTCGGTACTTAACAGACAGACGACATAGATGTTAAACCACAATCTAAGACGTGGTAAAAATGTCATTAGTTAGTTTAGACACAGACACATCGTATAGATCAACCAATTCGTGGTGGTGTCCATAAAAGTTACGGAGCGTCATTTTTAATCCTTCCTCTTCATAACTCTGTTCGAGCAATTTCTGCGTCAGTATATGAAGTCAGTATAGTGTGAACATGCACGAGCAGACTTAGGTTGATTTTTTATGTCGCAAATAACTTTGTCTCACGTGTATACTTATCTCAATCAATACGGACATCATTAATAGGAATGTGACTCTTACATAAAACTAATCCTACAGAGTTATAAGCAAAAACGACTTGAAGCAACACTACAAGTTTAAAGGTCACCTTCACGAATTGTTTGACCGATACGACATATGGCAAAATCCTAGGTACTTTATTCATATGATTTGCACCACGTGACTTTGACCCTTTTGATTAAATTACTTTCCTTAGTTGTAGAGTAAAAATATAAATTTTATCCCATTTACAGATAATCCAGTATTTTCCGTCTTGGATTTACAACTAACGTGTCTTAAAAAAATCTTTTGGGAGATATTTACAAATATGTTGTGTAATTCTAAGAAAAAATGCTTAAAATTTGACTTCTTCGGTATTTTTCATAGCAATTATATTTCGGTTATGATTTCGATTTTTTAACTGAAAAGGGCGAACGTTTGACAATATTAATGTAAGTAGACAATTTGTACACGAATAGAAGGCAAATAACATGTACAGTTTACTTAAGGGTACAAATTGTTGATGCAACGTGGGAATTAGCATATTTGCATTTATATGGCATGTATAATCCTATTGTAATGACTGTCTTCGTGATGAGACAAAATGACCGCTATGCAAATTAGCAAAGCACTTCAAAGTTTGACATATGATGTGCATGTGTTTCAACACACTATCGAAATGTCTGTAGTTCTATTTCTTGTTTCTTTGTCCTGATAGTGACATGATGACTGAGTGTGGATCGGTATTGTTGATAATTCATGCATAGCAATATGCGATTACCCTGACGACACATCCGGAAATTTTGGATTGCATACGATCATGTTATCTTGATTTGTCTACTTAATTTTAACACATTGGTAAACTACTTGTGCATTATTTGTATCACTTTATATTTCTTTCTTGATAACAAATGAGTTGAGGGTATGTAATGTTGAAAAGACTTATACCTTAACAATTATTTTACATCAATGTATATTTTGAACTTGTATACATTCCAAACCGTGCATTGAGTTATAATAAAGTTATGTTTAAAACACTGAACTGTTATCAGTATTGTACATCATTGTATGTTTTGATTTGAATGTTATTCAACGTATTTAACTGTTCAGGTCAATAGTTCTTCCCTTTAATTTTTTGTCTTCGATTTATCTTTCCTTTTGTCAAAAAGTTTAAAACGTTAGATATTTTGCTTTATGATTATACTACATCATTCGTGTTGTTAATTTTTGATAATTAATATGTTCTGCCAACGAAATGGTGTACGTTATATTCATAGGGTTTGCTATTATACCCTCAGTGATACAACTATTACAGAAACCTCCCGCAAGAGGACATCAATTGAACGGGATAAAACACGTATAATATAACTTCGGTTTGGGGTACTGACACGATTTATCGATAAAAGGATTTAGGAAAACAAGTGTTCGAATCTTAAACGATAGCACTCGTAGTCAAATGGAAATAAACTCATTATGAATACCAGGGAAAAAATTGTACGTCAGACACGCGTTTCGTTTACAGAAGACTCATTAATGACGCTCAGATTAAAAAAATGTTTGAAAGGCCATATAACGTGCGAAGAAGAATATCGTTGACGACCCGATATTCCGACAGGTTTTGCCAAATACGGCTAAGATAATATATTCCTGGGGTAGAACATTATTAGAAATTTGCTCTGACTATAGATGCACCGATGTCTGAAATGGATTGTATAAATTGTGTTGGAAACATGAAAAGAATTCGATCCCTTGAAGTGCTTTTCTATTTATGCGGGATAAGTAGCTACCAAGTTAAATAAGAATTTATAAACTTCAGTCGACAGTAGATCCTTAGAATTGTTTTTTTTAAAGCAGGTCATTGGAAGATACTAAGATCTTGTTCGTAAATATTCCGTATCAACTTCACAAATAATACATGATGGTTTTGAAATATGGATTCTATGTACTGATTTTGTTTATCACCTTAATTACGTGTTATAGTGTTCTTTTTGTTTGAATTTGTATATTTCTAACCTTTACTGTTAAGTCCATTTTTAATAATATCCTTTTGGCGTGGTTCATTATTTGTACATACCGCCCGCCATTATGGTTTTGTGCTACCGTCATTTTTTGTACTTCTGTCTTTCATCTTGATTTTGCGCTTTGTCTACATGCCATTTTGTTTTTCTTTGTTGACATAGAATGTAGTTATTTGTTTTATAGTGACTAAGATTATAACACAATGTTGACTGCTGTTCCCCAACTTTGACAGTTTTTACCTTTTATGTCTGTTTGTTTTGCTCACACTTTGTTGTCCATAAAATGGAGTTCTATGCAATTGCCATACAACTGAGAGGTTTAGCTAACTATAAAACCAGCTTTAATCCACAATTTTCTACATAAACAAATGCCTGTACCAAGTCAGAAAAATGACAGTTGTTTTTTTTTTATTATTCGTTTGATATGTTTGAGCTTTAGATTAAGGAGTTTCCGTTTCTAATTTTTCTTTAAGTTTGTTATTTTTATTATTTTACTTTTTATAGTTCTTTGGATGTCGGTTTTTTTGTTATTTTACTTTTTACAGTTAGAACATTCGACTGATGTAAAAAAAAAAAGAGTTGATTTTTTAGTAAAAACCTCATTAAGGAGTTTTATGTATTTGTGTTGGCTCACTTATAACAGGGTGTACATAAGAACAAAAACATAACAGGACCTTAAGGATTCAAAGAAGTATCGTATTACATCTATTTTTCCGAAAATCGTTGTTCGGTTTACATACCTTAAAATAGACGTTCTTAATTCATTGCTGTTATAGAACTCACTTAAAAATGGGTAAGATATTGTAGACATGAAACTGAATTGATTAATATATGCACTTATACTGATTTGCCTATTAGACAACTACCACTATTAACGAGCGTTTACTCTACAGACTGTATCCAATAAACAGATTGCTACTTTTTTTAATGTATAAACGACCAAGAACCATTTGAGACTCCTTTTTTAGGTGACTTGTAAGTCCTGGTATCTATGATGAATTTATTTTTGTCAAAATATTTCCACAGGGAATATGGAGAAAAGGAGAAATATTGAGATATTTGAAAATCTGTTTGTTTAGACAGGAAACAATAATAAATATTTGAAACTTAAACTAGCCACCTCTCACTCTGCAAAATCAATAAAGACAGTTTCGATTCCTTATGACTAGTTGGTGTTCTTATTATTGTTAGATATTATCTATCAGTGGCATAAGCTTCGATTTCAACAGTATGATTTTTTTTTTAAATGAAGTATGTCACTTTGTAAGCTTAAAAAACGGACTATTGAATAGTTATTTGTTATAAACAATCATTTTGGTTTGTATTGGCAAAATAACTTAACAACTTAGCTGATACATCTTTGTCATGAAAATCCCCATATTGATCCAGGTGTATGCAACCTATAATGTGACCTCATATAGAATGATAGCACATGTGCTAATCATGTTCAGATATTTGGAAAAGAATATCTGCTGAAAAGGATAAATAGAGAATATCATATGGCATCAATATCACACCTGTATCAACCCGAGACTCCAATATAACACCAGGGAGTATATTGATTGAGAGTTGATACGGTGTGTGATATTGAAAAAGCCATATCATATAAACTTTATTATTTACATGTACTTCAAGTACAACTAATCTCTCTTATTTATTTTTCACGAGAGATAGCGTAATACATTAAAGGGGTTTGATACAGCTTTTGTAACCGTGACTGATATCGATTACGTGACGTAATACATATAGGGGTTTGATAAAGCCTTTGCAACCGTTACTGATATTGATATCATCACAGATGGCTGATATAGCACGATTGTCATCAATTGTATTACACATACAATTAACCTGTATTTACTACTAAGTATAACATAATTAAGGAATCAAACAGAAACCGAATTCGCTGACTGATTCAGTCCCTTTATACAGCATTTTAATATACAGACATTTCACTATTCCACATAGTATCTGTATATATATAATTATTATATGCATTGTTAATGCTTCAAATAAAAACATGACATTCTGATATACATTTTAGTATGTTTCAAATCGAACTAGAGAGTTTTGACAATTGCGGTAGATATGATACTGGCGAATATGAATACATTATTTCACATATTTTGTATAATGCATACTAAAAACAATTACTGCAGTTTCAAAGTGTTACTCTTGTTCATTTTCTCAGGTACAGGTAGTTCTAAGACAAAACTGAAGGAGGAACTGTTTGAGTCAGAAAGAAGAAATCCTACACCTATTAATAAGACGCAAGGTAACCTTTTTAACAATGGGTCGGTTAGCATCTGCCTTCTGTGATTTAATCAGATGCACAAGAATATCAAAACGTTTTCATTTTAGTTCACTCGAAGGTCGAATATATGTGATTTTTCACAATTTTGTGTCAGTTTGTCGTTAGTCGTTGTTTACTTTTCTCTGTTTCGAACTTTTATTCTGTAATCACATGGCCAATGGAATTTAGTAACACATATCCTGTTGTAAATATATTTTATTATAGTCTGTGTCCTTTTTGGAATCTGAAAAAAATATAGTATTTACAGGAGACATTTCTTACTTCAGTTACAAAAACGGTTTGATATATACAATTGAGCGTGATAAACTCATTAGATTCTTAAATTAAGTTGCAAAGTTTTTGAAATCAGCACCTGACCAGTTGTTTTCGATGCAGGTCATATACTCAAGTTACGTTTTGTCCTCGACTGAAGACTGCAGCCTAGTATGCAGCACTTTGTGTTGATTTGAATAATCAATCCTTTTCTGTGAATATTCTGAAAAGGCCAAACGTTTCAAAATAGACAAAGCTCATTTGTACTTGAACAGAAGGCAAAAAACATGTACAGTTCACCTATATGCATACAAATTGTTGATGCGACTTATGAATAGATATATTTGCATTTTAATTGGCATGTATAACAATGTTTAATCCTATTGTATTGCCTGTTTTCATGATAAGGCAAAATGTTCTGCCTTTTGTGAATTAATCAGATGCACGAGAATATCAAAAAGTTTTAAATTTAGTTTACTCGAAGGTCGAATATATGAGGTTTTCTCACAATTTTGCGTCAGTTCGTCGTAAGTCGTTGATTTCGTTTTCTTTTTTTTTTTTAACTTTTATCCTGTAATCCCATGGCCAATGGAAATTTAGTATGTCCTATTGTATACATTTTATAATAGTCGGTGTCCTTTTTTGAGTCTAAAACAAAATACGATTCGAAGGGCGACATTTCGTAGTTCAGTTACAAACACAGTTTGACATACAATTGACCGTGATGAACTCATTTGCAAAGTTTTTGAAATTAGCACCTAATCATTGTTTTCTAGGCAGTTCATATACTCCATTACGTTTCGTCCCCGAGGGTATCACCAGCCTAGTATGCAGCACTTTTTGCTTATATGAATTATCAATCATTTTCTGTGAATATTCTGTGTATAAAGTTTTGAAATATTCGAAACACTAAACTTACCCTAGTCCAGACAAAGATGGCCATAGCCGTGGTTGGAACAATGTTTTCGAAAGTTTTGTTTTCAATGCTTTAAACATAGTATCAGATTGGGCTTCAAACTATATTGACTCGAGCACTGCTGCCCAATCTTATGTAGAAATAGACAATGTGTTTACGAAAAATAAAAACGACGACATGACAAAGAGCAGTCGACAAAATACTACATAGAAGGCCTATAACTAGGAATCAAGCATGTTGGTTTAAACGTTTGTGCAATGTCATACGAAGCCAAGTCAAAAGGTACTACTGTACTATAAAAAAAAAATGATTTCTATATTTTCAGAAATAAGCACAATAAACAAAACAGTTATTCCACCCAGTGGTCTTCTACATCTACGTACGTATAAGCTATGGCATTTTTAATAGACAATTATACATAAACAACAGTTTTACTGTAATAGATAAGCATACAATTCTAAGAAACTGTATACAACAGCTCATATATAGTACAAATAGAAAAAATACCATTGACTAAGAAAAAATGTATGTTTATGATAACATCCTTACATTATAAGATAGTACGAAAATGTATCTTTCTTCATTTTAAAAAGATAAGCTTGGCAATTTGTTTTCACAGATTTAGTTTCTGTCAAAGGTAGAGACAGGGAGATCCACACCTAGGTTCTATTATACATAAAGTTTCTTTTGTCAATATAAGCTTTATATTGTCTAACAAATATATCATTATTGTAATGCATAGTTATCAACAAATGAATAAAAGGAAAACAATTTAGATGTATATACAGTTGCTAGATTGGTCATACACTTAAATAGCCATAAGATATTTAATGTTATATTTTTTTAATAATTTTATACATTGAGTGAGCACAAAAAGCACACTTCTATTAATTGTTCATTAAACAAGGGTTGAGATTAACACCTAACAGCAATTAGTCCGCCATTACATCTTACAAGTTCTCGTAAAATTTTGACGTCACAAATCAAATTGTCTGGCTCCATAAATCAACGATTATTGTTGTATGACTTCAATATTTCAAGTGTCGCAAAATCTCTGGTCAAGTGTCGCAGGTTCAAAAATAGCAATAAAGTCTATTGATTTTTATCGTACATGTTTATGTTCACCACAGAAATTAAAATCTAAAAGAATGATCACGAATGTAATGATATATTTTAATTCGGTTGTCTTTTATCCCCACCACTTAAAATGGTTTTAGTATTTTACAGTTTAAAACTAATAGAAATTTTTATTTTATTTCAACCATGTTAACGTAACTTATACTGCATTTAATTTTGTGGTATTATTTTCACTCATATTGCACGATGTAAATCTCATGAAAAACTTCTAGTTGTGCTCAACACATTCGTGCTTCATAAATTTTAGTAATAGAGTTTAGTCGGTAATTACTTCCGGAAACACTATGAGAGTAATTGTCATCCCGCGTCACACCAGGATAAATGTTGATAATTAACCATGTTTCCAGATTTATAGCACTGAAACAGAATTATACTTTGAATATTCAAATTGTTTCATAGACATGTACTATAAAGCATGGTATTTTGGCGTTGATATTGATTCACTTATAAGGTCTTTGCATCTGCACTAAACACATTTATTTAAAAACCAGTTGTTGGCATGACACGGGTTATGTTCTTCTCATATATGTTATGATGGTATGATACTAAACCCCTAACGGGAAGGATTGTGCCTGATATTCATATGATGAAGACATAATCTTTCAATCAGTTTAATTGAAGTCTGGAGCTGGCATGTCAGTTAACTGCTAGTAGTCTGTTGTTATTTATGTATTATTGTCATTTTGTTTATTTTCTTTGGTTACATCTTCTGACATCAGACTCGGACTTCTCTTGAACTGAATTTTAATGTGCGTATTGTTATGCGTTTACTTTTCTACATTGGCTAGAGGTATAGGGGGAGGGTTGAGATCTCATAAACATGTTTAACCCCGCCGCATTTTTGCGCCTGTCCCAAGTCAGGAGCCTCTAGCCTTTGTTAGTCTTGTATTATTTTTAATTTTAGTTTCTTGTGTACAATTTGGAGTTTAGTATGACGTTCATTATCACTGAACTAGTATATATATTTGTTTAGGGGCCAGCTGAAGGACGCCTCCGGGTGCGGGAATTTCTCGCTGCATTGAAGACCTGTTGGTGGCCTTCTGCTGTTGTCTGTTCTGTGGTCGGGTTGTTGTCTCTTTGACACATTCCCCATTTCCATTCTCAATTTTAATTGTTTTAATATATTGCATGCATTATTATTTTCATCTCTATTGTAATGTGCTATTGTCTCATTATTTGAAAATGTAATCAAATCATTTTTGCTATTTATTTGCAGAAACTCAAACTTTAGATGACGAAAAAGAATGCAAACAACAAAAGCAACGCAGAAAAAAGAGTAGAAATTATTTGAACGCCATAGCAAACAAAACAGGTGGAACGGATACCTACAACATCGAAGGTGTTAGTGCAGACGAGATTTTGGAATTTGTTATCACAATATTTGAAAGTGGCTGCACATTTGAAGATTTTTTATTACAATGTAACCTTTTCCCCTCTTCTGCTGATATTCCAAGGTGGTTTGAAACGCATATGATGCAGTTTCATCTTTTCAAAAAAATGAAAAGATAGAATACATACTAGTATTACCATTTGTAAAAACCGCTGGCGTTTGTTCTCTTTATAATAATCGTCAATATCCTGGTAAATGTGATTATGCCAACTGTCACTTCTTCCATGTTTGTCACCGGTTTGTCAGAAACATATATTGCAATTTCAAAGGTTGCAGGCTAGCTCATGATTTTACAAATCAGCACAATAGTCGACTCAAAGTACGATTTGGATTAGAGAATTTTAGCGAAAACCAAATTAAAAGGGTCCTTAATAATCATTTCCCATCCATCTGTAGGGACTATAATTTTCTTTAAAAATGCAAGGTTGGTAAGAAAAAATGTGTCAAATTACATTTATGTGGTGCATATAAATTCGGAAAATGTGAAGAACCATGCAAATACAAACGAACTCATAAACTCAATAACGATCATAATAAATGGGTTCTCAGAGCATTTGAGATGAGGAGCTGGCCAGAAGAAAAAATCTTGAAAAACATCTACGTTCCACCTAAAAGAGTTCCCAGTTATCCGAATAATGATAAACGTGACTTGGACCAATACAAATACATTGACGACGATGATGACGATTTATACAAAGGTAGCGATTTTATTGACATGGATGAGAATTTGATTCAACAGAAGGCTGATAGTAGTGATGGAAACTCGGATGAAGACGAATCGGATAAACTTCCTATTTGTTGATCGATGATATTGTGAAATGTTCTGTGTATTTTTTGCTGTTATTGAACAAATGTTCTGTTATTCATTTCAGCTCATTATTTTTTGTTCTCTCGGATAATTATTTTGTTTCTGTTTTGCTCATGTAGCTCGTTTACTATTGCAGTGCTTATGTATCATTGGCTTTCAAATATTCGGCTTTGAGCGTTCTTGATGAAGTTAAATCCAGAAAGTGCTTCGTACTCCTGAAATTGATAAAGTGTGTTTTTATTTTATTTTTCTTCCTATGTGTTGTTTTATCGTTTATCGTTTATCACAAATGTAATTTCTTGAATCCCTATTTGTTGATCTCGTTGTATCTTGGGCATCTTTTTATTTTTTTTTCTTTCTTTAGTCTCTGCATGTTATGCTTTTTTCAAATTATGTTTATTTTCAACTTATAAAGTGGTCAAACCATACTTGTTTGCAATAGGTGTGTCATGTTAGGTAAATATAGACAGTTTAATAACAACACGAGTGAAGTGTGGTGGAATTTTTCAGTTGTCTTATTAGGTAATGGTGTTATGTGAATATTATATAAAACATGTTGATATTTCACTTTATAATATGTTTCACAATAAACAGGTTGTACATACAAATACATCGTAGTCGTTCAGTAGGATACAAGTTCTCATAAAAATGAAATAACGATTAAATTCCCTGCGGATCAATTTGCCTTTGATGTATAAAATGTTTTATTTTTTTAGATATTTTTTTTACTGCTGTTCCCATTGTTTTGACAAGACATTGATAAATCTTTGTACTGTTTTCGATGTTTTTGTTTCTCTTTTCCTCCATTTTCTATTGGTCTTCAAATATAAACAAGCTTAAGAGACAAATAGAGAACAACTTACAGTCTTCACAATTTCATCTGTGCAACCAGTAGCAATATTATGATTTGTGCAGGTGATAATGCGCATGTTCTTGTGAATCAGTTAAGTTATTTGGATTTATAATTCTTTTTATTTTCGAGCTTCACTGATGAGTCTCTTGTAGACGAAACGTGCGTCTTGCGTACAAAAGTTTCAGTCGGGTATCTTGGTGATTTTTTTTTTTTTCACTATACAATTATTACACTTTTGTTTCTGAATAGATCTGTATATATTATATGGTTGTGGATATCTTCTGCAAGATATTATTTCCAAAGTTTTTGTTACAGATCATAGATAATGTCTACCAGTGTGACAGCAGAAAGCTATAATAGGTATTTTAAACAAACAACAGTACACACGCTGAAATGTGTAGCCTGCTTTACTGACCATTGATGTTATGTTGAAATTCTTAAAAATAAAGATTTTACTACAAGAAACATATCCTTATCAATCTCAATGATCCATGACTATGAGGGGAAGGTCAGATCAATCCTGTCAGACAGACATGTACACCTCACACTTATTCCATAACCTTTAGTTGACCTATTGCTTATGGTTGTTGAAAAACAGACCAAAACCCCAAAACTTTGATGAATAAACCATGACATGAAAATGTAGTCAAGGTCAGATGATACCTGCAAGACAAATATGTTCACCTTACAACTATTCCTTACCCCAAATGAAGCTGACCTATTGCTATTAGTATTGAAAAAACACAAAAACACAAAATTGACCATTGAACCATGAAAATGAGGTCAAGGTAATATGAAACCTGCCAGACAGACATGTACACGTTATAATCATTTCATAAGATATAGTGACTCTATTGCTTATTGTTACTGAGAAAAAGACCAAACCACAAAAAATTAACATTGACCAAAAAAGCATGAAATAAAGGTTAAGGTCAGATGAAAATGCCAGCCAGACATGTACACCTTACGATCATTCTATACACCAAACATGGTTGACCTACTGCTTATAGTACCTGAGATACGGATTTGACCACCAGACTTAAATCTTGACCACTGATCCATGATATGAGGTCGAAGTGAGGTGAAACCTATCTGACGGACATGTAGACGTTGCAATGAGCCCATACACCAAATATAGTCAGCCTATTACTCATAATAAGCGAGATTTTCACATGACAAAAAACATTTCAAGCAGTCGCTGAACCATAAAAATGGGATCAAGAAAAATGGACATATGACAGTGTGAAACTGCCTAACATAAGGTATCTGTATACCAAGAATGAAGCATCCAAGTCTATTACCTTCTAAAGCTTAATACAAAACGTTTACGCCATCGCAGCCGCCGCCAACGCCGCCGGATTGTCATACGTATATCTCGTGTTCTGCGACTTTCGTTGCAGTCGAGACAAATTAAAAATGAAATAGTAAAATCATTTTAAGCGTACAAAGGTTGTGATTATTGTTCTGTTGTATAAATGAAGTTGGTAATTTGTCGCAGATAGACATGAACACGTGACGTTGCTTAACTGAAACGCGACATCATTGTCTAATATTTTCGAGGATTAGGTCCGTTCATGATTCTTAAATGGTATGATTGCCATGTATGCAACATCCAACAAAAGCCAGGTGGCAAGGATGTAATGAACAATGAAAATGTTTTGTTATAACATAAAAGAAAGCAAACGTAAGGACTGTGTTTCCCTCAATTTTAGTTTGTAACCCGGATTTGATTTTTCTCAATCGATTTATGAATTTCGAACAGCGGCATACTACTGTTGCCTTTATTTAAGCTATGGTCATCTTGCAAAACACGATATATGAGGTTTCCTCGAAGAGGGATTATCAGCACTTCTATGTTGAGATGAATTATCAAGTGTTTTTATTAACAGCAATATGTGCAACATGGAATCAACTTGAGTGTTAAAAAAAGACATGACTTTTCATTGATTTAGTCATAATTATTAATTATATGTTTACAAAACTATGCATTTTTCTACACCAGTAATATATATCCTTAGCTACATTTGGCAAAACCGTTCGGAATTTTGCGTCCTCGACGCTCTTCAACTCCGTACCTTAATCGTATTTTTAAACTTTTTTATTCGATCGTCACTTTTGAAGATGAAACGCGCGTCTGGCGTACAAAATTTTAATCCTGATATCTATGAGTTTATTTATGAAATAAGGTTGCCAAGGACAACCATTGGAATATAGACTCTAGGCTTCGTTGTGGCGTAAAATATTGTAACGACACCTAAACACTCTTGCAAACATTGGGCAGCGGTGCTACCGCCTAAATTCAAACAATAACGTGAGCTTCCAATGAGCTATAATCGCTCACCTGCATTTTTGTTTCATCAAAATCAAAGTATTAACAAAAAAAATCATACCTGGTGTTGTCAGTTTCATCTCATTTAGTAGACAAAATTTCTTGTAAAGAATATTATTTAAAATGAGTCCAATAAGACAAATGTTCGAGCCTTGAAGATTATTGGTACTTTTCATCACGACCTAAAGACCTTAACCTTTTATAAGGAATATGTCTACATGGATTTTTTTCAAATCACTTAATAAAAGAAAAATATTAGACCCATTAACTATATAAGGTTTCAATATAAACTTTGACATCCACTAATTTATTTTGAATTTCTGATCGAAATCAAAGTAACAACACTTGTGAATAATCGTCAATTGATAAAGTGGTTTGTGTGTTGCAAAAAATCTTCAAAGAACCGACAAATTGGATCCCTTGAAACCACAGAACAGACGCAACAACACACGGTAATAAAGTAATTTTCACTTCTGCATTTTTGGTTTCCATTCTATTTGACCTGATCTTGAGAAAAATTCGTAAGGGTTCCGCGGAACCCAGTGTCTCGCCTACTTTTGCTTTTAATCGCAGGCTCAACAAAAATGAGAAAAAAATAATAAAAAATATTCCTCTCTATACTATCTTCTGATTGTAAGTAGCTTCTGTCCGAATTTGGTAAAAATCCAGGATAGTTTATGAATCTGATAAATGTTTTAAAAACTTAAACTGCAGACTGTATGTAATGTTAACTGGAAGAAAAACTAAGTCCATTTATAAGTAAAATACGGAAAAAATGGAACAAAATTTTAACAAAATTTCCTTCTAGATAATAGCTTTTAATCATAAACAAGCTTCTGTCCAAGTTTGGTACAAATCCAGGATAGGTTAAGAAAGTTGTTAAAATTTTAAAAACTTTAACCACAGAGTGAATGTAATGTTAACTGGCAGAAAAACTAAGTCCATTTATAAATAAAATACGGAAAAAATTATTTTTTTTTTTTTACAAAATTTACTTTTGGATATAATCTTATGATCATAAACAAGCTTCTGTCCAAGTTTGGTAGAAATCCAGGATAGTTTAAGAAAGTTATTAAAATTTCAAAAACTTTAACCACAGAGTGTTTATAAGTAAAATACGGAAAAAATGGAATTTTTTTTTTACAAAATTTACTTTTGAATATCATCGTATGATCATAAACAAGCTTCTGTCCAAGTTCGGTAGAAATCCAGGATAGTTTAAGAAAGTCATTAAAATTTCAAAAACTTTAACCACAGAGTGAATATTTGTGGACGCCGCCGCCGACGACAACAACGACGACGACGACGACGCCGACGACGGAATGTAGGATCGCTATGTCTCGCTTTTTCGACAAAAGTCGAAGGCTCGACAATAATAGCAAAATGTAATTTTTCCTATGGTTTCCATGTCAAACTTGATCTCACTTAGCAGGAAATTGTACTTTAGTTTAGATCAGCATCAAAGTTGCATTACTTGTTCAGAATCTTTACATGACTATATTTGGTAGTTTATTTCCTATAGTGATAAAAAGGTTCCATAAACGAATCATTTGACAATAAGAGAAATGAAATCTTTGTGTCCCCCTGAAGCCATAATGGACTTTTTAGCAATATCATAGTGATAAAAGTTGGAAAGGAACTTCTAGTCAACATTTCTGCATGAACTGTTTTCGTGGCATTTTATTTTCCCAATAAGAAAGTAAAGTTCAAAGTCCCATAGCACTTCAAAGAAGAAGCTATTTATTGAAATTATGATTTGTATCAAATGGAACATGTCTGGCAGAATGGTTTCAGTGATTCAGTGATTCTGTGAAAATCACAATAAATTGCCCCTTATTGCATTCTTGAAATAATATTGAACCTGTTATTGTTTATCTTTGATGGTGGCCATTTATAATGTTGATAGACGCCAATGTAACTACACTTAAAAAAGACTTCACAGAAACATATCTGTCAAGTTTGATTCAAATTGATTAGCAGATCTAAAGGTACTCAGAATTATTGAAAGCTAGTTCAAAGACAATAACAATTAACAAATGAATCATGTTTCCCATACGAAAGCATCAAATTAAATTGATTCAGATGTTTTCTAGAAAGATTTTCAGACAATCAGGCATTAGGAAAAGGCAATTGCAGCAATTTTGATGATAAATCTACACCAAAGTAAGTACTTCTAAAAAGGACCTTTCAAAAGAGAGGCGAAAGATACCAAAGGGACTTTCAAACTCATAAGTCGAAAATAAACTGACAACGCCATGGCTTAAAAAGACTAGATGCTCCCAAGAACCTGTGTCGCTCATCTGTATCTACTGTTGTTTTCGAAATCATGTAAAATAAGGTTAAAAACATAATTAATAGTATTAGGTACCCTAATAATGATTGAGGTCAAGTTTGATTTAATTTGGCCCAGTAGTTGAATTAAAAGCAGGTCATCCCATTGTAGTCTTACAATAGTTACTGAAGACCCCTTATCATTATTCAAATTAGTTTCCAAGTTGTGACCATTTTGAAATTGTTTTTTTGACAATTTTCCCTTAGACTTCTAAAGTAAACCCCTATGTTCTAATTTTAGCCATGACGGCCATGTTGGTTAGATGACAGGGTCATCGGATAAATTTTGCAGTCAAGATACCATATAAAAAGTTTTGGCTAAGTTTAATTTTATTTGGCCTAGTAGATAAGGTGGAGAAGATTTTTGTAAAAGAATTCTAAAATTTACGAAAAATTGAATATAAAGGGTAATAACTCCTTAAGGGGTCAATTGATAACTTTGGTTATATTGACTTATTTGTGAATCGTTCTTTACTGAACATTATTGCATTTTACAGTTTATCTCTATCTATAATAATATTTAAGATCATAACCAAAAACTGCAAAATTTCCTTAATTTAATCAATTCTGGGGCAGCAACCCAACAACGGGTTTTCTGATTCGTCTGAAAATTTCAGGGCAGATAGATCTTAACCTGATAAACATTTGTATCCATGTAGATTTGCTCTAAATGCTTTAGTTTCAGAGATATAAGCCAAAAACTGCATGTTACCCTTATGTTCTATTTTTAGCCATGTCGGCCATGTTGGTTGGTTGGCGGGGTCATCGGACACATTTTTTAAGCTAGATACCCTTATAATGATTATGGCAATGTTTGGTTAAATTTGTCTCAGTTGTTTCAGAGGAGAAGATTTTTGTAAAAGATGACAAAAATTTACGAAAATTTTTTAAACATTGACTATAAAGGGCAATAACTTAAGAGGTCAATTGACAATTTGGTCAGATTGACTTATTTGTAGAACTTACTATGCTGAACATTATTGCTGTTTACAGTTAATCTCTATCTATAATAATATTTAAGATTATAACCAAAAACTGCAAAATTTCCTTAAAATTATCAATTCACGGGCAGCAACTCAACAACATGTCTAATTCGTCTGAAAATTTCAGGTCGGATAGATCTCAACTTGATAAACATTTTTATCAAAGTCAGATTTGCTCTAAATGCTTTAGTGTCAGTGATATGAGCCAAAAACTGCATTTTACCCCTATGTTCTAGTTTTAGCCATATCGGCCATGTTGGTTGGCAGACTGGGTCATCGGACACGTTTTTTAAACTAAATACCATAATAATGATTGAGGCAAAGTTTGGTTAAATTTGGCTCAGTAGTTTCAGAGGAGAAGATTTTTTGTAAAAGATAACAACTAGAGGCTCTAAAGAGCGTGTGTCGCTCACCTTGGTCTATGTGCATATCAAACAAAAGACACTCTCCAACATTGTAGACGAGAAAAGACTTTATGACAAAAATCTCAATTTTATTGATCTTGTATTACTAATCTTTTAGTGTTTAGTTTCTCTCTATCTTCTGTTGTTTTTGCTCAAAACATAAAAGAGGGTAAACAAAATCCTCATTTAAGGGCAATCACTCCCATGAAGAGTGACAGTCTACTAACTATATCGGCAAAATTTGACTTTTTAATAGATCTTGCCTTGCTTATAATTTTTGTGATTTAAAGAGTTTATTTATCTATTATAATTTAAATCATATATTTAGGCATAACGGAAAAAAAATGTTCTCTCTAAATATCATAGTTTTCATGATAATAGGCAAAAAATGAAAAAAATGGTAAAATTTGTCATTTATTGGCAATTACTCCTATAAGAATTTGTCTATCAGTTTTGACGTATATATAGACAATTGGAAGAGCTCATTATTCTGAACCTTTTTGCTCCTTTCAGATTTTCTCTATTTATAACGTTTCAAAAATTAATAGACAAAACTTGCATTTTACCCCTATGTTCTATTTTTAGCCATTTCGGCCATACTGGTTGGTAGGCGGGGTCATTGGACACATTTTTTCATACTAGATACCCTAATGATTGTGGCCAAGTTTAGTTAAAATTGTCTCTGTAGTTTTAGAGGAGAAGATTTTTGTAAAAGATTACAAAAATTTACGAAAAATGGTTAAAAATTGACTTTAAAGGGCAATAACTCCTTAAAGGGTCAATTGACAATTTTGGTCATGTTGACTTATTTGTAGACATTACTTTGCTGAATATTATTGCTGTTTACAGTTTATTTCTATCTATAATAATATTCAAGTTAATAACCAAAAACTGCCAAATTTCCTTAAAATTACCAATTCAGGGGCAGCAACCCAACAACATGTTGTCTGATTTGTCTGAAAATTTCAGGGCGGATAGATCTCAACCTGATATACATTTCTTTCAAGTCAGATTTTCAGAGAAATGAGCCAAAAACTGCATGTTACCCCTATGTTCTATTTTTAGCCATGTCGGCCATGTTGGTTGGCTGGCGGGGTCATCGGACACATTTTTTAAGCTAGATACCCTTATAATGATTATGGCAATGTTTGGTTAAATTTGTCTCAGTTGTTTTAGAGGAGAAGATTTTTGTAAAAGATTACAAAAATTTATGAAAATGTTTTACACATTGACTACAAAGGGCAATAACTAAAGAGGTCAATTGACAATTTGGTCAGATTGACTTATTTGTATATCTTACTATGCTGAACATTATTGCTGTTTACAGTTAATCTCTATCTATAATAATATTCAAGATAATAACCAAAAACTGCAAAATTTCCTTAAAATTATCAATTCACGGGCACCAACTCAACAACATGTCTAATTCGTCTGAAAATTTCAGGTCGGATAGATCTCAACTTGATAAACATTTTTATCAAGGTCAGATTTGCTCTAAATGCTTTAGTGTCAGTGATATGAGCCAAAAACTGCATTTTACCCCTATGTTCTATTTTTAGCCATATCAGCCATGTTGGTTGGCAGGCTGGGTCATCGGACACGTTTTTTAAACTAAATACCCTAATGATGATTGAGGCAAAGTTTGGTTAAATTTGGCTTAGTAGTTTCAGAGGAGAAGATTTTTTGTAAAAGATAACAACTAGAGGCTCTAAAGAGCGTGTGTCGCTCACCTTGGTCTATGTGCATATCAAACAAAGGACACTCTCCAACATTGTAGACGAGAAAAGACTTCATGACAAAAATCTGTATTTTATTGATCTTGTATTACTAATCTTTTAGTGTTTAGTTTCTCTCTATCTTCTGTAGTTTTTGCTCAAAACACAAAAGAGGGTAAAAAAAATCCTCATTTAAGGGCAATCACTCCCATGAAGAGTGACAGTCTACTAACTATATCGGCAAAATTTGACTTTTTAATAGATCTTGCCTTGCTTATAATTTTTGTGATTTAAAGAGTTTATTTATCTATTATCACTTAAATCATATATTTAGGCATAACGGAAAAAAAATGTTTCTCTCTAAATATCATAGTTTTCATGATAATAGGCAAAAAATGAAAAAAAAAAAAATGGTAAAATTTGTCATTTATAGGCAATTACTCCTATAAGAATTTGTCTATCAGTTTTGACGTATATATAGACAATTGGAAGAGCTCATTATTCTGAACCTTTTTGCTCCTTTCAGATTTTCTCTATTTATAACGTTTCAAAAATTAATAGACAAAACTTGCATTTTACCCCTATGTTCTATTTTTAGCCATTTCGGCCATATTGGTTGGTAGGCGGGGTCATTGGACACATTTTTTCATACTACATACCCTAATGATTGTGGCCAAGTTTAGTTAAAATTGTCTCTGTAGTTTTAGAGGAGAAGATTTTTGTAAAAGATTACAAAAATTTACGAAAAATGGTTAAAAATTGACTTTAAAGGGCAATAACTCCTTAAAGGGTCAATTGACAATTTTGGTCATGTTGACTTATTTGTAGACATTACTTTGCTGAATATTATTGCTGTTTACAGTTTATTTCTATCTATAATAATATTCAAGTTAATAACCAAAAACTGCAAAATTTCCTTAAAATTACCAATTCAGGGGCAGCAACCCAACAACATGTTGTCTGATTTGTCTGAAAATTTCAGGGCGGATAGATCTCAACCTGATATACATTTCTATCAAGTCAAATTTGCTCTAAATGCTTTAGTTTCAGGTATATGAGCCAAAAACTGCATTTTACCCCTATGTTCTATTTTTAGCCATGTCAGCCATGTTGGTTGGCTGGCTGTGTTGTCAGGTTTTTAAACTAGATACCCTAATGATGATTGTGGCCAAGTTTGGTTAAATTTGGCCCAGTAGTTTCAGAGGAGAAGAATTTTGTAAAAGTTAATGGACTACGACGGATAACGAGGGACATCAAGTGATTTAAAAAGGGAAAACCCCTAAACTTGGGGTTTAATTTTATTTTGTGGTTTTTAAGCAGAAGACCAAAATGTAACAGGCCAATGACAGGAAACAAATGACAGACCAAAATTGACAGGAAACGCTAACATGGCTTTATGACAAGGTTATCTAAAAAATATCTGTTGACCAGAGGGAGACTTATTGGATCAGTACAAAGTATTAAATAACTAACAAAATGACAAAAGACATTTAGTACCGAAAGCTAGTTCTTTAATAAACAAACAATTTTATCATTCATCTATGCCTCCAACTGATTAACAAGTTGTATAAAACATGGTAAGCAGTCTGAGAAAAAACATAATGAAGTTCTCTAATAGTTAACTAATGTATAACAATGTATCTTTATCTATGTGATGTGTTACACTTTTGAAAATAACATCAATGTCATTAGTAATAAGGACAAAATGTCATATATGTGTTTCAAGTATCCCTGTTTTTATAAAAATAAAATATTAGACATTACTTTTAATGTTATGGCATCACAATGACAAAGACCTTTGGTAAGCAAAAATGTTGAACAGGGTTAATGTTTACATTAATTCCCTGAATATTTCCTTTGAGAAAACATCGAGTAAATTCTATAAATAAGATATTTTTAGAGAAGATGTATTATTCCTGTAATAACTCTTTTCTCAATATGAAGTTGTTTCTTAAATGTGCTCATAGATTTTTTATTTCAAAATCTATGTCAATACTGATAATTGACTCCTTGTTCTCAGTCCTTTATTATAGCCTAACTTAAACTACGTTTAGTAGTTTGAGATTCTGTTAATGACTTCAAATTTTTGCAGACATTTAATGATTCAAATAAAAAAAAATCTAAACGTTGTTTAAATTGTTTTACATTTGTTGTCCAGGACTTTTATAACTTGCTTTGCAGTATGGCTTTTGCTCATTGTTGAAGACTGTAAGTTGACATTCAGTTACTAACTTTTACATCATTTATTCTCTGGTGGAAAATTGTCTTATTGGCAATCATACCAAATCTTCTTACTTTTATAATAATGATTCATGCCTGTCATTTTAAAAGTACAATATATTCAATGTTAGTAAATTTTAATATATTGCTATTTCTGGATATAAATTCATATCATGTGCTTTATTACTCTCCACAAAACATGACTTAAAGGAAACATTTTCTGTTAATTCAGACAATGTGAACTTTTCACCAGAAATATTATGAAAATTTGCACTCTTGCCCAAATAATTCACTTGATTTTGGCTCAGACAAGGTACAAAGTTCATATGGTTCAAAAGCATCCAAAGATGTAAAATTGCAGCACTGTTAAATTTCTGTCCACTCTTATCCCACAAGTCAGATGGACCACTTTTTAGAAGAACATCGTGTTCATATTCATACATGTAAACAAAATAATCATTTGGCGTCAACACTAAAGTAGGTATCAATGTACTCGTGAAGGCTTTATTTGAATAACGTTTCTTCATATTTGAACGGGAAAATGCAAATGTAATACACTGAGCTAGAGTCTGGCTTATCCAGGCAACTTCCTCCTCTTTGGTCTTTTCGTCAATATCTGAGCATAGTTCTTTTTCAAAATCACTGCTTTGATTATTCGTTTTTCTATCTTCGCTTACCATAACACAGTTTTGCTGTACTTCATTATCAGCTGATAAAAGAACATCAGGTCTTCCATACCAAAATTTTTCATAACCTTAAAAAAATAGAGAAATTATGTTTACTTAATACTATTATATAAAAGGTCACAAGAAACTGATTTTTTGTTCTTTGAATTGGCCCATATTATTTTTATGCAGATAAAGTTTTATAAGATTAGTTATTCTAATCACATAATTTAGACAATATACATGATATTATTAATATATAGAATATTACACAATTGTTAAAAACTTTTCACTTGCACCCAAAATTAATTTAAATTCATTTATTTTACTGCTGAACACAAATTCATTTCTATATATATCATGTATTTTTAAAAATCCAAATTCCTGTATTAAATTTTCCCAACAGATGTAGGTTTTAAGAATTAGTAAACCGCAAAATCAGGGTAAAAACCCAAATTTAGCATATAATTTAAAAAGGTCATGTCATGATCATATGATGAACATGTATGACAGCTTCATATTACGGTATGGGTTTTGCTCATTGTTGAAGGCTGTATGGGGACCATTGAGTGTATTATACACATACAATTTACTTGTATTAACTACTTATTATATAATAAATAATAATATCTTACAAATATACCAACCTAATCCTGTATGTCCATATTCTATTGGTTTCTGACATTTGACAGCACTAAAGCAGGGACAAAACAAAGGCCTGTCAGACAAATCTCTACTAGTAATGTGTTCTTTTCCTAGCACTAATTTACTGAGAAGATGGTTTGTCAGAAGAGCAGTCACATAGCTTTTTGGTTTATCTGTGAAAATATTTCTGCTGTCTCTTTTTAAACATCTTTCATGGTCCTCTGAAAATACATTGGTTTTTGTAGAACTATATAGAGAATTGTAAAAGGGTAATAAAAGTGTTTACTTTTATTATTTTTAGTGACACAAATAAAAAATTAAAACATGTGAAACAATTTCTTGTTAAAAAAGATATGTTAGGTTCCTTTGACGTGGATACTGTAGGTATGCAGGGTTTCCTAATTTAACATAAAATTGAAAATATACTCAGGTCACAACACTTCAACTAGGTAGAATTAATCTATTGAGTAATTGTCCGCTTTAGAATTAAGCTAATGTTAAAAAAGCAAAAGAGCAAAACAAAAAAGTGAAGTTCCATTGCAAGAGTTTTTCTTGCAAAAAAGGTCAGATCACAACTTGGCGGTGTAACCTGTTTATTTTGTACATTGTATAAATTCCCTTAATATAACTACATGTAATATAAACTACTTTACACATTATAATCATAATTTAACTTTTAAAAAATAATATGTTTTTATTTTTGAAATTGTTGTTTTGGCAAAGACCAGTGACTAAAACCCCAGAACAGGTAAAAGCTGTATTTCTGACTTGGGTTATTTTATTAATATAAAATTTCATCAACGATTGGTTCCCTAACTTATTGATTCGATATCGATGATTTCATTTAATATTGCAATGACTCAATTAATTATACATGTAGCACCCTCTATCAGTCAGTGTGCTCTAAACAAGGATTTATTTGAATCTGGAATAATTTTGAATTCTGGAAAATTGATAAGAAATGTATGATGAAAACTATCCCAACTAAATAGGGTTAGCCATGCGTGCATGGCTAAGGTTAATTTTACTTTCACTATCATTTCAGTATGAACTAACTAACCCACCTTAGCCATGCGCGCATGGCTAACCCTATTTAGTTGGGTTAGTTTTCATCATATATTTCTCATCAATTTTCCAGAATTCAAAATTATTCCAGATTCAAATAATTCCTTGTTTCTATGTGATAAAGTGATTGATAGTGTACTGTATAGAAACACTGAATTATTCTGAATAGCTAACTTATATGCCTTCGCAGTTTTCTCAAAAACAAACTTGGTCGAGTATCAGAAGGAAGTTGCAGTTGATATCTTTCTCTGAAATTAATTCTATCAAAACTTTTGATTTTTCAATCCTGTATACCACTATCGTGACTATTCCCCATGTGAAATTGAAAAATTGTCTATAAGAAATAATCCACAATGCTTTTCAATATTAAAATGGCAGCATACGCTATAAATTTATTGCTTTGGGATACCATATGGCATATTTTGTTAATAGTGAAAAAGTATAACATGCTACACAGAGGAATAAGTGATCAGTATGCTTGTGTTTCTCATTGACAACATATTTGTTGAATTTGGAGGTAGACTTTTTCAGCAAGTTGTCAACATTCCTATGGGAAAGAAACGTGCGCCTCTCCTTGCCGACCTCTTCTTATTTTCATAGGAGTAGGAGTTCCTCAGACACTTGTCAAAAACAAGAAAATCAAGGAAGCCTGATCATTTAATTTCACATTCAGATATATTGATGATGTTCTTTCCATAAACAATCCAAACTTTTCTGATTGGGTTCCATTAATATATCCTCCAGAACAAGAAATTAAAGAGACAACTGACACGGCTTCATCCACCTCATTTTTAGACTTATACCCTTATATTTGACATAAGCGGTCATCGGTCATCTCAATACCAGAATCTATGACAAGCGAGACGATTTTAATTTTGAAATTTTAAGTTTTCCCCTCCTTAGTAGCAATATACCAACTTCACCTGCATATGGAATATACATTTCCCAACTCATTCGGTATTCAAGAGCTTGCAGCTGCTACTCAGACTTTATAAAACGTCCCCTGTGTCTGAGCAGAAAGTTGATGAGCCAAGGTTATGTCAAGGAAGGTCTCGTCCTGTTTCTAAAAAAGTTCAATGGAAGATACCAAGACCTTGTTGATAAATATTCCGTATTAACTTCACATATAATACATGATGGTCTTGAAGTATAGATTCTAGGTACTGACGTTGTTTATAATCTTAATTAGGTGTTTAAGTTCCCCTTTTTGTCCTTGTATATTTTTGGCCTTTGCTGTTTGTCCATTTTTGATTATATACTTATGACTTGGATCGTTACTTATACATCCCGACATTGTGATGTTGTGCTATGGTCAATTTTGAGTTCTTGTCTTTCATTTTTGCTTATGTACTTTGTCTATATGCCATTTTGTGTTTCTTTGTTGAAACAGTTATTTGTTTTTATAGTAATTACAATTATATTACAATGTTGACTGCTGTACCCCAATTTTTGACCTTTTTACCTATTATGTCTGTTTGTTTTGCTCACACACTGTTGTCAATATAATGGAATTCTATAAGACTGTCATACAAGTGAAAGGTTTAGCTAGCTATAAGGCCAGGTTTGGTCCACCTTTTCTACAATGCCTGTACCAAGTCAGGAATCTGACAGTTGTTTTCCATTCGTTAGATGTGTTTGAGCTTTTGATTTTGCCATTTTATAAAGGACTTTCCGTTTTGAATTTCCCTTGGAGTTCGATATTTTTGTTATTTTACTTTTTGATACCAAGGGCACAAGAAAAAAAACATAAGACAGGGTGGGCGAAGAGATATTGAATTGTAAAGATATTAATCTTTTTATAAACATCTTTTTCATAAGGCACAGACTATAACAAATCAATATTAAACTTACTCATTCCGCACTATATTTTAATACAACATTCTTCATAAAGCAGTTGTTCGACATACATTTTAGCTCATATTAGATACATTTCAAATGTTTCAAAAGAAAAAATGTCCAACTTTTTGTGACAAACCTATCATCTTGTTGGACAAGCTTAAGGGAAATTATACCTATTTCAGTATTCCTGAAGCAGTTGGTTAACCTGTTGTGCTTGCATAAAGGGTCAAGAAATCTGTCTCAAAATTTAAAGGCAAGGAATTCTCTAAATATACTGCTGAAATTTACCCAATGGAACTTAAATAAATCAAATATTAACAGCAATACATTTTTGTAACTGTCCTTTCCAAGATTTAGATAATTCAGTATTACACCAGAAAGTCTACACAAAAATTTACGAAAAAAGGGATGATTTTTCTTTCCCTATTGTTAATTTTCCCTTTTTGGACGGTGGTGTTCCTTTGGCACCGTCTTACGGTGTTTATATATCCTAACTCGTTCTCTATGCTTGTGTCTGCAGTGATGTTTTGGATTTCAATGAGTGTAATCTATGTATTACTAGTAAATTATTAGGTCAGAGATTTCGTTACCACAAATTACTTAATACCTTTACTAACTTCTTCCATAGATACAAAGATTTGGTCTGCAAGTTTGGCTGTTCCTGTAGAAAACTTGTTTCAAACGGAATAGCACATCCTAAATTTTACAGTGATGTTGTAAACCGAGCCCAGAAATTTAGATACGATCCGGGTAAACTTATCAATCCATTAAATAAATTTATTCTAAAAGATTACCTATTCAACACTGTAATTAAATCTTTGAATATTGTTTTTATTGGTATAAATATTGATTTTGTTATCAGTAAATTAAAACCTTACTAAATTTTACAAATATGTATTTTCACGGTACTACAATCTGTTGATACATATAGTTTGGCATTGCACAAGGTCATGTTTTTCTCTGACTGTTAATGACATCTTTACACTAAATCCATTGGATGTTGGATGTGTACTGATTGATATTTTAGTCTTAGATACATGATTTTTTTATTAGTTGTTATTGGCTTTGAACTAGCTGTCAGTAACTGTGAGAACTCTCAGATCTGTACTTAGTGTCTTTTTGTTTTGGGGATGTATAAGTACCTGTCCACTTCCACTCTGTGTTTTTGTAAGATGTATATCTATTTGTATCCATCTGATGAGTTAAGCCTAAGGCCCTTTTTCAACTGATCTTTATAGTTTGTTCTTATGTTGTACTGTTTCACCACTGTCCCAGGTTAGGGGAGGGTTGAGCGCTCACAAACATGTTTAACCCCGCCACATTCTTTATGTGCCTGTCCCAAGTCAGGAGCCTGCAGTAGTTCAGTGGTTGTTGTTGGTTCATGTCTGTCATACTTGTTTTTCGTAAGTTGTTTTGTTATAAATTAGGCCGTTAGTTTTCTCAATTGAATCGTTTCATATATTTCATGTCAGGGCCTTTTAAAGCCAACCATACGGTATGGGTTTTTCTCATTGTTGAAGGCTGAACGGTTGCCTATAATTGATTACATCCACTTCATTTGAACTTTGGTGGATAGATGTCTCATTGGCAATCATACCACATCTCCTTATTTTTATATCCAATTAAAACTATAGAAATTTGATTTTTAGTCTTTTTCTCATTTTTGACTGCAGGTCCCCTTGTTTTCAGTCGGTCCACATTACGAAAGTTTGCAGTTTTATTTGTGGTTGTCGATAATTGGGGTGAGTATATGTCATGAACAAATGTATATATGCGAAACATCTGTAAAATGTTTATGGTTTTGTGTCAGTCCAGCCATTAATCCCATTCATATTTTAGGTTGATTCATCCCTATTAAAAATAATTAACATACATGTACATGTATATGAAAATAAGAAGATATGATAGGATTGCCAATGAGATAACTTTCCACCAGAAACCGAAAGAGGTACAAATGTAGAAGTTAGCAAATATTTCTTTTATTTTTGCATACATTTTTGTATGCATCTATCTGGGACTTCTTCATTTCTTTTGTACATTTATCTATTGCTACAAATCCTATTAATATAACTACGAAAGTTTTTTAACTACGAAAGTATCTTAAAATTGTAATACAACTTTTAAAAAATGTCATGATTTATAACTATTTGGGTGTTTTTTAACTACGAAAGGATCTTAAAATTGTAATACAACTTTTAAAAAAAAAAGAATGGACTAATTGACATTTTTCTTTAGAGTTTATACATGAATTTGTCAAAAACTCTTTTTCATTGTTCTTCGGCAGGTGGCTTGTCACCAGGGATAAAATTTTCATTGC